CTGAATACTTTGGCCTCAAATCATTTTTTAAAAATGTGGTCTAGGGGCTGGGAAGGTGGCTCAGTGGTAGAGCACTGGCCTTGCATGCCTGAGGCCCTGGGTTCGATTCCTCAGCACCACATAAGCAGAAAAAAAAAGCCGGAAGTGGTGCTATGGCTCCAGTGGTAGAGCGCTAGCCTTGAGCTGAAGAGCTGAGGGACAGCGCCCAGGCCCAGAGTTCAGGCCCCACGACCAGACCCCCCCCCCCAAAAAAAAAAGAATGTGGTCTAAGGGAGCTGGGAAGGTAGAGCGCTTGCCTTGCAATGCCTGAGGCCCTGGGTTCGATTCCTCAGCACCACATAAGCAAAAAGAAAAAAGCTGGAAATGGCGCTGTGGCTCAAGTGGTAGAGTGCTAGCCTTGAGCTGAAGAGCTGAGGGATAGCGCCCAGGCCCAGAGTTCAGGCCCCACAACTGGATGCCCCCCCCCAAAAAAAAATGTGGTCTAGGGGCTGGGAAGGTGGTTCAGTGGCAGAGTGCTTACCTTACATGCATGAGGCCCTGAGTTCGATTCCTCAGGACCACATAAGCAGAAAAAGCCAGAAGTGGTGCTGTGGCTCAAGTGGTAGAGCACTAGCCTTGAGCTGAAGAGCTGAAGGACAGCATCCAGGCCCAGAGTTCAGGCCCTACGTCCAACAAAAAAACAAAAAGCAAAAAAACGTGGTGTAACATCTAGAAGTTACAAGATCTTAGCATAAATATTAGGTTATCCAGTTTCTTGAAAAAAAAAAAATATATATACTGATATTGGTTCCTGTATCTGTGTGTGTGTGTGTGTGCTCGTGCGTGGATGTCCTGTGGCTTGAATTCAGGATCTGAGTGCTGTCCCTGAAGTGGGTTTTTTTTTTTTGTCATGGGGCTTGAACTCAGGACTTAGGCACTGTCCTTGAGCTCTTTTGCTCAAGGCTAGTGCTCTATTATTTTGAGCCACAGCGCCATTTCCATTTTTCTGGTAGTTAATTGGAGGTAAGTCTTATGGATTTTCCTGGCTGGCTTTGGAGTTGGATCCTCAGATCTCAGCCTCTGGAGTTGATGGAATTGCCTCTGGTACCTAGCTGAAGGTTCCTGGTTCTTTTATATGGCAGAACTGCACTACCAGCTACCCGCGTCTCTCAAGGAATGTACTTTCCCTGGACAACTGACCCACTCTCTCCAACAAAATAGTACTACATACAAAAAGCTGTTCTAGGAATTCAGAGAAAGGGAGAGTTGAACAGTAATCCCATATAATGAATGGTCCTGATTGGATCTAGTCTTAGAAAAAATTAGCTTTAGGGTTTTTTCTTTTGAGAACTGGGGAAAATGTCAATTAGATATAGATTTGTTGGTTATTTTGATAATGTACAAAAGTATTCTTTTGATTTTTCAAATGTCTACATACTGAAGTAAATAAAACCACTAATCTTATTCCTGCTAACTTTAGTTCTCTTAACTTTAAGTTTTGATTTTGCTGCTGTTGTTGGTCGTGGGCTTGAACTCTGGGCCTGGGTGCTATCCCTGAGCTCTTTGGCTCAAGGCTAGTGCCCTTCTTCTTCTTCTTCTTCTTCTTCTTTTTGAGCACTCTACCACTAGAGCCACAGCACCACTTCTGGTTTCTAGTGGTCCATTGGAGATAAGAGTCTCATGGACTTTCCTGCCCGGGCTGGCTTTGAACTCTGATCCTCAGATCTCAGCCTCCTGAGTAGCTAGGATTATAGGCATGAGCCACTGGTGCCCGGCTGCCCTACTTCTTTGAGCCATAGTACCACTTCCAGTTTTCTGGTGATTAACTGGATACAAGAGTCTCACGGACTTTCCTGCCTGGTCTGGCTTTGAGCCACGAGCCTCAGATCTAAGCTTCCTGAGTAGTGAGGATTACAGGTGTGAGCCAATGGTGCCCAGCAAGTTTTGAATATTTTGACAAACCTTTTCTGTAAAGGACTGAATATTTACAGTATATGGCAACTACTCTGAAGCTGTAACATAAAAGCAGCCAGAGATCCTTGGTACTAGTACTTGTCTGATATGTACAAGACTTTGGCTTCTCTCCCCAGTATGAAAGGATTCTTTTTTTTTTTTTTTGTCAGTCATGAGACTTGACCTCTAGGCTTGAGTGCTGTCCTTGTGCTCTTCAGCTCAAGGTGAGTGCTCAACCACTTGAGCCACAGTGCCACTTCTGGTTTTCTAGTGGTTTATTGGAGATAAGAGACTTTCCTGCCAGGGCTGGCTTTGAACCTTGATCTTCAGATCTCAGCCTCCTGAGTAGCTAAGATTATAGGCATGAGCCACTGGCACCTGATGGGTGGTTCACACTTGTAACCCTAGCTACTCAGGAGATCTGAGGATTTCAGTTCTAAGCCAACCCGGGCAAAAAAGTCGATGAGACTCTTATCTCCAAGTAACTACCAGAAAACTGGAAATGGCACTGTGGCTCAAGTAGTAGAGAACTAGCCTTGAGTGGAAAAGCTTAGAGACAGCACTTAAGACCTTGAGTTCAAGCCCCCATGAATGACCAAACAAAAAATGCCGTCATGACTGGGAATGTGGCCTAGTGGTAGGGTGCTTGCTTAGCATGAATGAAACCCTGGGTTCGACTCCTCAGTACCACATAAACAGCTGTGGTGCTGTGGCTCAAGTGGTAGAGTGCTAGTCTTGAGCACAAAGTTCAGGAACAGTGCCTAGACCCTGAGTTTAAGCCCCAGAACTGGCAAAAAAAAAAAAAAAAAAGGCAGCCAGACACAATGTAGACAAAAGGACATGGCTATGTTTCAACAATTTTTTAAAGCAAAAGCTGATTTGTAGACTTCTCTAGAAATAACACTTCTGAACAACTTCCTGATTCTCATCAGAATCAATGCTATCTTCCTCCATCTTCTATTGCTAGTAAATCTTATCACATTTATTATGCCTTTTAATTATGTACTCATTGATGCTGAGAAATAAGTTCTCTGCCAAAGTAGATGCCATTTGGCCACCTGACTCCTCATTCTAGTAAGTATATTGTAGGAAGACATTCTATGATTATGCTCCAAAACATCAAAACTACCCTAAAAAGATATGGCATGCTGGGCACCAGTGGCTCCAGCCTGTAATCCTAGCTACTCAGGAGGGTGAGATGTGAGGGTCGAGGTTCAAAGCCAGCTTGGGCAAGAAAGTCCATGAGACTCTTATCTCCAATTAACAATCAAAAAACCAGAAGTGGCGCTGTGGCTCAAGTGGTAGAGCCCTCTCTTTGAGCTGAAGAGCTCAGGGACAGTGCCCAGACCCAGAATTCAAGACCCATGACCAGCAACAACAACAACAACAACAACAAAGATATGGCACCATTCAAGACATTTAAGAATGAGCTGCAAGTTCAGTTCTCAAAATAATTTTTTTGATAGTACTGGAGTTCAAATTCAGGCCCCAAATTTACTATACTGGTACTCTACCACTGCCTCCAGTTAGTGTCAGTACTGGGGCAAATTCAGAGCCTAGGTGCTATCCCTTAGTGGGGTTTGTTGTTTTTTTTCTGCATAAAGCTGGTACTCTATAACTTGAGCCATAGCTGCACTTCTGGCTCCGCTGGTTAATTACAGATGAGAACCTTGTGTACATTCTTTGCCCAGGCTGGCTTTAAACTTCAATCCTCAGATCTCAGTCTCCTGCTAGGATTACAAGCATGAACTAGTGATTGGCACAAAATACTTTTTAAGGAGTGTCAGGAAAAAAAAGAAATGAGGAATATGAGTTTTTCCTCTGATAAATGTATTGCCTCCTATGATCTACATTGTGACATGTTTATTATCATTTTCTAATCAAATTTTGTGTGTATGAAAGTGTAGACTCAGAGCATGCAGGAACGCCTCCTTTAAAGCTCATTATAGAGTACTGTTAGATTTACATTAAGCCCATGATAAAAGCTTAACAAGGGCTGGGATATAGCTCAGTGGCAAAGTGCTTGCCTAGTAAGTGCAACGTCCTGTGCTCAGTCCCCAGCAGAAAAACCAAACAAACAAAAACAGTTAAAAACCCAACAAAACCCAAGTGCTGGGAATGTGGCTCAGTGGTAGAGTGCTTGCCTAGCATGCATGACGCCCTGAGTTCGATTTGTCAGTATCACATAAACAGAAAAAAAGCCAGAAGTGGCGCTGTGGTTCAAGTGGTAGAGTGCTAGCCTTGAGCACAGAGGATCAGGGACAGTGCCCAGGCCCTAAGTTCAAGGCCCAGCATTGGGAAAAAACAAAAACAAAAAAAAGAAAGTTCAATAAATTTAAATATATGTATTTTGGGGGCAGCAATTCCTTCTTATCATAGGGAGAAGGTGGTGACAGTAAATGTTTAATAAGCTTTATCAGCTAGTGCTAGTGGCTCACGGCTGTAATCCTAGCTACTCAGAAGACTAAGATCTGAGGATGGAGGCTCCAGCCCAGCCCAGGCAGACACTTAGGGTGAATTGGAGACTCTTTATCTCCAATTCACCACCAAAACCAGAAGTAGAACTGTGGCTCAAGTGGTAGGGTACTAGCTTTGAGCAAAAAGGCTCAGGGATGAGATCAAACCCTAGCACTGGCACCAGAAAAAAAAAAAAAAAATCAAGGTTTGCTGAAAGCAGGTACGGTTGTTTGAGGTTCCCTTCCTCACAATGACTTTTTTGGTTAGGAGCCTGTGAGAGATGGAGGCTTCCCAGCCTGCAACGGAATTCCAGAGCAAAGAGTGTTTACATGTCTTTTGAAGAAACTTTTCCCCAAGCCCAGGAGCACTTAGGAAAGACATGGAATTTTAGGGTAAAGGCACAGCCTGGAAAGAATATTCAGGAGAGCAAAGAGAGCTTTGGCGGCTGTGGGAGCAGGAGGGCATACAAGGCAAAGCACATGGGAGGTACACATGACTCCCAAGCATACATCCTCATAGAGCAGAGGTCAGTTCCAGACCAAGGAAGCAGAGGAAGAAAGGCCTAAGCACAGAAGTTCTTACAAGGGGAGGGAGTGATGGTGAATTAAGAATTTAGAGTTGAGTGAAAGGTTTATTATTAGTGCAGTCAACACCACAGAACAGCACACACAACACAACCAGCAACCTGCAGACACTAGTGCAAAGGGTTGGGAAGCCTGAACTGAGCTTCCTGGCTCTGTCCATGGGTGGGAACAGGAGTGCCAGCCTTGGCAAGGCAGGCAGGGACAGGGGAGTAGGAGAAATGTAGTAACCACACTAAGTATAGCAGCGTTTTCTAATTCCTGAGCACCGTGTCCTAGAGCTGGAACACATGACTGCTCCCCACTCCCCTCTGCCCCAACCCCGTCAGAGCCATGACCCCCCCCCCACCACCGAGACTAATAGCAAGCTGGCCTGCAACAGCAAGCTGGCCTGCAAATAAAAGTCCAGAGAGAAGCAGCTGTTAACTGGTGAGAGGAGCCCTTCCCTCTCTCTCCAACCCTACCCCCGACCTGCACACTTCAAGAATCACATCCACTATCCTTCCCTCCCATCGCTCTGCCAGTTGCCACAGCGAGTGAGGGATGCCTCAGGCAGCCTAAAATGGAACTGAAGTCCTTCAGTGCACATGGGTGACCCAGAGCACAGCCTGTCTTTTTAAAGACACATGGAATTTCTATCCATTTGTCTACTGAAGCTTAGAACCCAGCTATATAGTTCCAGGGGAAGCTGGGAGAGAGTTGCCTTCAAAATGAATACTCTAAACCCAGGGTTTTACAATGAGACCTTAATAGAGCCAGGAGCGAATGTCTTCAAGGGGCCACAGCATTGCTGCTAGACTGTCACATCCAACACAGGAGCAGAAGAAGCACCTCATCTCAGATGGGGTGACAAGAGTGTTACAGTAGATGCCATTAAGTTCAGCCAAGGACTCCCTTGGCTCTTCCTATATTAAAGCCAAAGGTTGTGCTGAAAAGAAAAATCTAACACAGATACCACCCTGTCCCACCCTATCCAGAATCCCCACAATAGGAACAGCAAAAGAAAAGTTTCATTTTTTTTTCTTTTTTCCTTTCTTTAAAAAAAAAAAAAGTAAATAAATTAAATTGCCAACAATGTGGCTGGGCTAGAGAGTAAGGTAGCCATAACCAGGCCATTCTTAAAAAAAAAAAAAAAAAAAAAAGTGGGAAACAGATGGGATTTGTGGAGTATAAACAAACAGCCAAAGGAAATTATCAAAATAACTCACTATAATCACAGAGAGGAGTGTATGAACTATTATGGACATGCCACAAAAGGCAATGCCTATCCTACTCCAGCAAAAGCCAGAGAGCAGCCACTTCGCTGAGCATATGAACCCCAATAGTCTAGCCCCTACTCCCAATGCTGTCATTCCCTAATTATGAAAACATGTAGGAAAAAAAAAGAGCTCATCTGGAAATTTTCAGCAATCCAACCTGTATACCTGCAGACCCAGCAGGAGCCTGCACCTTTAAGGTGGGCCGTACAGGGATGTGCTTGGCACACAGGTCCAATGGTCCCCTAAGGGTTACCAGTGATGGCCAACTCCTGGCCTCACTACTGACTTCTAGGGTCTTGGTTCCACCCTTACAATTTCTTCAGGAAGTCTGCTCCTCAGAGCTGCCCTCTAAATGCTGCTTAGAGCCAATAGGTCTGCCTGTTCTGATTCCCTGGTTTTGGAGGAGAGGGACAATTATTAAGACTCCTCACTCCACCTTGATCCTCTAGGGAAACCAAATCTCTTGTGCTTTCTGAAAATATCTAGAACCAGGGACCTTTGGCAGGACTCTCCCACCCCAACTGCACACTGACAGACATTTTAGGGGAAGAAATATGGCAAAAGGCAGGAATCTGAGTTTCCCTCCCAAAAGGCTGATCTAAGTGTCCCAGGGCCCTTCTGTATCAGAAGGGCAGGGGAATGTGTGGCTCCAGTGCCGGTCATGGCATTAAGGATAGTGGGAAGGATTCAGGGCCCAGTTGCTGGAGTGATGAGAGTTTTTCTGACTTCCATCTCTTCCTGACAGCTGATCGAGTCTCCTATATCTCCTCCACACCATGCGCAAATATCATGACAAGCCCCGGCTCCTGCACCATGTCATCACCCATATGCTGGTTCTCGCAGGCCATTACGACAACGGCCTGCTTGCCAGGAATGCGCTTGGCCACGTAGTTCTCGTAGTAGCGCCGGTTCATCTGTCTTGTCTCTAGTGTGGCCAGGCCCTGGGGCCAACTACGTTCGTGGGCATTTTCAATCAGCTCGTTGACAATAGAGGCGGGGCAGCCACTCTCCACCAGGGAGCGCTTGATGACGGCCTGGAGGACAGCATCCGGTGTGGAGATCATCCCTCCCCACCGCGTCACTCTTGCTGGCTGCAGGGAGTTCACCCACCTGTGTGGAGGGTTGGGCATGGTCATTCCAGCTCATCCTCTCGTTCTGTTTTGGCTTTTCCTAAGAGGAATGACCACCCACTCTGCAGTCAGCTTGTCTCTATTATCCCATCTTTCCTTCCAGCATCAGCTCACTCAGAACCCCCAACTCTTTCCCAGTTGGTCCCATCCAAATCACCACACTATGCACCAGATTAAACTTCAAGCTCCTACATTCTGTCCCTGCTATTTTTCTTTGAAATCCCAGTGCTTAGCACATCTAGTGCTTGGCATGTAAGAAGTGCTCACAGATGTCTACTGAAATCAAGCAACGATTCTTCTATACTGTATCCCACTTAGCACTATTTGTCCTGTATATATCATTTCACACTTACAGTTTAGTCTTTGAACTGAATAGGACTCCAGAACTGAATGGAATCTTAAGACTTTGCTTGTTTACTTTGTATTTGCTGCATTTTAGATCACTTTCCTGGATATGCACTCTGCCTCCTCTTCTCTGGGCTGTAAGCTACCTGAAGATGATATATCAGGGATGATATCTTCTATTTCTTTTTGTCTCTCCTCACACTCCTTTAATACAGGACTTTGTACTTGGTTGTACTCACCTAATTCTGGACAGACTGGATCGCTGGGCAGGCTTCCTCTTTTACCACCCAAATACACAAGATATCCTGTACTGGAGCTGAGGGTTATTGTCTTCTCTGTTCCTGCATTTTACCTCCCAACATCTAAGAAACAGTGGGCTCGGCCTAGCTATCTTACTGCCAACTCTTAGTCTAGCCCTCTTCTGCCACTCCCTGCTCTTCCTCTTTTAGGCTTTGGTGGCAGGATATGGACACTCACTCAAGGATCTCGTTGTATTCAATTGTCTCCTCCAGGTTCTGAAGGTTGGGGTTAACACTGCGGATTGCACGCATGTATGCCTTTAGTAGCTGGATATCTCGCTTCTGTTGGAGGAAAAGAGAACCAGTGGTGATGGTTAAGGTAAACAGCAGATAAAAGCCAAGAGTGGGGCTGGGAAGGTGGCTCAGTGGTAGAGAGCTTGCCTTGTATGCATAAGGCCCTGGGTTTGATTCCTCAGCACAACATAAGCAGAAAAAGCCAGAAGTGGCGCTGTGGCTAGAGCGCTAGCTTGAATTGAAGAGCTGAAGGACAGCGCCCAGGCTCAGAGTTCAGGCCCATGGCCGACAAAAAAAAAAAAAAAAGCCAAGAAAATGAGGGCAGCTGCACCAGTGGCCCAGGCCTGTAATCCTAGCTACTTAGGAAGCTAAGATCTGAGGATTGCAGTTTGAAGCCAGTCCAGGCAGTAAAGTCTGAGACTCTTTATTATTAATTAAGAGGGCCTGGACACTGTCCCTGAGCTCCTTTTGCTCAAGACTAACACTCTACCACTTGAGCTACAGTGCTAACGTCTGGCTTTTTCTGTGATTTAATAGGAGAGAAGAGTCTCACAGACTTTCCTGCTCTGGCTGTCTTTGAACCACAAATCTCAGATCTCAGCCTCCTGGGAGGCTCAGCTAACACTTGAGAATTACAGGTGTTAAGTCACCACACAGGCTATGTGAGACTCTAATTCCCTATAAACAACCAAAAAGCCAGAAGTTGTTTAACTGGTTGAGTGTTAGCCTTGAGCAAAAGCTCAGGGGTAGTGCCCAGGTCCGACTTTAAGTCTCAGCACTGGCACAAAAATAAAGAGATAGTATGTCTCATTTCTAGCTATTTTGTCTTCTCTATGCAAAGGGCTTTCACAGAGAAGGCATTTGATAAATTTTAGATAAATGACATGAATGAGATGGAGTGAAGTAAGAAAACTCTAATCTGATTCTCTACTAAGCCATAGTCAGAACAATCTGCTCATCTAGTCTCATAAACACAACACAGGTGTATGTGTTCACAGCAGTATTTGCCAGCTATTTGCATATGATAGACATACTTTCCCCATGTTCTCTGGGGCTTACCTGCTCTGCCAGCTGGTGTTTGTGTTCAGCTGACGTTTTCTCCAGCTCTGCAATACGTGTCTGCTGTTGCTGTACCACGGAGCGCAGGTGCTTAATACAATTGTGGTTTGGCAGCTCATCTTTGGGCATCTCCAGGCTGCAGTCCAGGGTGGGGATAGAGGAGAATAGGCTCATTCAATGGGACACGTGAGCTAAGAGCTCATTCTGTGGCAGAAAACTGCCAAGTGGGCTTTTCTCCAACTCTAAATTTCTAGCACTCATTTCAGGTCTATTATTTATTCCTTTTATTCTCTTCTCCCAAGCATGCTCCTTGCCCCTTTGCTGACAACTTTCTCTGCACTTTCATCCTTCAAAACTCAGTGTTAAGGGCTGGGGAGGTGGCTCAGTGGTAGAACGCTTGCCTTGCATGCATGAGGCCCTGGGTTCGATTCCCCAGCACCACATAAGCAGAAAAGAAAAAAGCCGGAAGTGGCACTATGGCAAGTGATAGAGCGCTAGCCTTGAGCTGAAGAACTGAGGGACAGCGCCCAGGCCCAGAGTTCAGGCCCCACGACCAGACCCAAAAACAAAAAAAAAACAAACAACTCAGTGTTAGGAAGTAGCACTGTGGCTCAAGTAGTAGAGCACTAGCCTTGGGATCAGGCCCAGAGTTCAAGCCCCACAACTGACAAAAAACAAACAAACAAACAAAAAAGAAAAAAAACAAAAAATCCACTCAGTATTAGCCAGGTAGAGGTGGCTCATGCCTATAATCCTAGCTACTACTCAGGAGGTTGAGATCTGAGGATTGCAGTTTGAAGCCAGCCTAGGCAGGAAAGTACACAAGACCCTTATCTCCAATAAACTCAGAAAAAAATTGGAAGTGGCACTGGGCTCAGGTGATAGAGTGCTAGCCTTGAGTGAAAGAAGCTCAGAGTTAGAGCCCAGGCCCTGAGGTTCAAGCCCCAGGACTGGCAAAAAAAAATAGTGATGACTCATACCTATAATCCTAGCTACTTAGGAGGCTGAGATCTGAGAATCCTGGTCCAAAGCCTGCCTAGGCAAGGAAGTCTATGAGACTCTTATCTCCAATTCACTATCAAAGAAGTAGAGCTGTGGCTCAACTGGTAGAATGAGAGCCTTGAGCACAAAAGTGCAAGTGCGTGGGTCCTAAGTTCAAACCTTAGCACTAGTACCAAAACAACCACAAAAAGCAAAAAACCTTCAGTGTTGCAGGATTTTTTCTTATGTCTGTTTTGTCTCTCTCAGATTGACTTTCATGCCTATTAAGAGTCAGCCCTACTCTTAGGATGGCCCTCCTAAACTGAAGATTGCTGTGTGTCCTGTCTTGTTAGAACTGCACACAAGAAGCAGGGAAAGCATAAACCAGGACAAGGAAAGACAGTGCTTTATTGCCCATTGGCCACATTACTCTCTTTTCCTTGTACAGATTTGGCCAGTGCACTTACTCTGAGAAGTCCTAGTTTCACTGTTCCAGCTATCAGCATTTAATCAACTACTTCGTATCTCCCAGAAAGGAAAAAATAGGACAAGAAGAAACATGAGAAGGTTGGAAAATAGAGCAGTAAGCCTAACAAAGAGAAAGTAGTACTGGATTGAAAGGAAAGAATAAAGTAAATCCGATTGCTGAATTGTTGTCCTCTTTCTTTTATTAGAGCGAGAGTAAAAAGATCATGGTTGAAAAAAAGCAAGAGAGTGAGATCCTCTCAGTTTGAGGCCAGCCCAGCAAAGTCTGAAAAAGAATCCATCTCCAATTAACCAGCAGTATGCTGGACAGAAGGCATGGCTCAAGTGATAGCATACCAGCCATGAATAAAAAAGCTATATCAGAGTGCGAGGTCCTGCATTCTAGCCACAGTACCAGCACCTAAATATATACATACATAAACGATTCAGCTGGGTGCTTACAGTGTAGTCTTACCTACTTAGGAGACTGATCACAGTTCAAAGCAAAGGCAGAAAAGTCTGTGAGATTCTGTCTCCAAAGTAACCAACAAAAAGCAGGGAGATATGACTCAAATGGTAGATTACCAATCAAGCAAGTATAAGGCCCTGAGTTCAAACCCCAGTACCATTAAAAAAAAAAAAAATAGGAACTTGGGGAGGGAGCTAAGAAGGTGAGGAATGCTCCTTGCTTACATGCACAGGAGACCGCCTCAGCTTGTGAGCAGTGTATCCAGAGGCAGGAGTATAAATGGAAAAGCCCTTATCCATGTGGGACCGAAGGGAAGGAATCTCACCCACAGCCCTGTTCACAGGTCACAGGCCGCTTCGGGTTGTGCTCACAGTCGCTGAGGTGAGACATGAGGTTGTCGAGCCGGACAATGGCACTGCAGCCAAACACAGCGTTGTCACAGGCAATCTGCAACTTTGATAGCATGTTCCGCATGATCCGAGGTACTGGGCGCAAGTGGGCGACTGTCACAACACTACGGTCTACCGGACACGTCTGCTGCTGAGAGAACCACTGGGTGATGCAGGCATTGCAGAAAGCATGTTCACAGTGAGGCGCCTAGTGGGGAGAGCAGGGTGAAGGAGACACAAGAGTATTAGTAGGAGTTACCCACCTGGATTTGACAATGACAAAGCCAGCTTGTAGGACCAGAGGTCCCTGTGGTCAAGTTTAAGATATGTTTCCTTTGTAAGACAAGACAAGCAGGTAAAAAGTTATATAATAATAAGAGGTATAAATAACATTCCAGAACAATAGGAAAGATGATGTAAGGCAGCCAATTATTATTAATTGTCAATTGGATTGTACAAGAACTGCTGAAAAAAAAAAAGTACATCTTTCCAGGCTAGGTCACCACAGAAGATGTTCATGAAGAAGCCAAATTTGATATGAATTTTAAAGAATGACTAAGATTCAGATGTAGAGAGGAGAGGGGCAGAGATTTACTGACATAAGTTGAAACAAGCAAACAAAACAGGGGCTGGGAAGGTGGCTCCGTAGTAGAGTGCTTGCCTTGCATGCACGAGACCCTGGGTTCAATTCCTTAGCACCACATAAGCAGAAAAAGGCAGAAGTGGCACCATGGCTCAAGTGGTAGAGTGCTAGCCTTGAGCTGAAGAGCTGAGGGGCAGAGCCCAGGCCCAGAGTTCAGGCCCCATGACCGACAAAGAAAAAAGAGAGAAAGAAAAAAGAAAACAAAATAGCTGGGTATGGTGGTGCATGGCTATAATTAAAGCACTTGGGAGGTTGAAGCAAAAAAGACTAGCATGTTCAAGGCCAGACTTCATGTTCTAGGCTACATTGTGAGGTCTAGGTCACCCTGCCCTATACAGTAAGACCCTATCTCAGAAAACATAACAAGAACAAAGAAAATAAAATTGGAAAAGCCTGTGACCCTCCCCCCCCAGGTGTTAAGAGATCTCTCTATGTAAACTCAAGGTATTGAATCAAGGTTGACCAAAAATTCTGGCTGATCTGAGGTGTTGCCCTGAGTCCCATCTGCAACATCTATGCTCCTAAATAGCCTTTTTTTTTTTTGAATAACGTTCTTTTTAGTTTTGTCAAGTATAGTTCAGCCTACTTCCTGTCCGATGATTTCCTGACCCCTTTATAGACACCATCAGAGATGTAGCAGTGCAGATATAGAAGGTGCTTAGTAGATGGTGATGAGTGAATGGCCGGAGTGTTTACTATGTCCTCAGCACTTCCTAGGTGCCTAAGATCTGCCTGTGAGGCACAAAAACTTAAACAGGTTTCATAAGGAAAGAAGTCATTATCAGTATCATTAATCCAACCATTCATAAGTTCTAACCCTTATACTCAAACATACTTCATTCTTCTCAAAGTCTTAGATGGTACCTCATCATTCTGCCACTAATTCGCTTCAAAAGCTGCCATCATACTAATTTTATTATTTTGTTGGTTGTGGGTCTTGAACTTTGGGCCTGGGAGTTGTCTCTCAGCTCTTCAGCTTAAGGCTAGCACTCCAACACTTGAGCCACAGCACCACTTCAGGTTTTCTAGTGGTCTATTGGAGATAAGAGTCTCACAGACTTTTTTGCCTGGGCTGGTTTTGAACCATGATCATCAGATCTCAGCCTCCTCAGTAACTAGGATTACAGGCTTGAGCCACCAGCGACAGCTGATCATAATATTTTTTATCTGAATTATTTTTGTTTGTTTGTTTGTTTTTTTGGTCCGGTCGTGGGGCCTGAACTCTGGGCCTGGGCGCTGTCCCTCAGCTCTTCAGCTCGAGGCTAGCACTCTACCACTTGAGCCACAGCGCCACTTCCGTTTTTTTTTTCTTTTTTGCTTATGTGGTGCTGAGGAATCGAACCCACGGCTTCATGCATGCAAGGCAAGCACTCTGCCACTGAGCCACCTTCCCAGCCCTTTATCTGAATTATTATGTATGTGTTTCACTGGTTTCCCTTGTCCTTTTTATTTTTTATTTATTATTTATTTATTTTTTGCCAGTCATGGGGCCTGAACTCAGGGCATGGATGCTGTCCCTCAGCTCTTTAGCTCAAGGCTAGCGCTCTAGCCACAGCGCCACTTCCGGCTTTTTCTGCTTATGTGATGTTGAGGATGGACTCCAGGGCCTCATGCATGCAAGGCAAACGCTCTACCACTGAGCCACCTTCCCAGCCCGTCCTTTTTAATTTAATCTATATTTAGCAGTCAGAATGATTGACATTTTAAAATGCAAATAAAGTCAGGAGCTGGTGGTTCCCACCTAGCTGAGTAGCTAGGTAATCCTAGCTACTGTGGAGGCTGAGATCTGAGGATTGTGGTTCAAAGCCAACCCATGCAGAAACATCTCTGTGAGACTTTTTTTTTTTGGTCAGTCATGGGGCTTGAACTCTGGGCTTGGGCGCTGTCCCTGTCCTCTTCAGCTCAAGGCGATCGCTCTACCGCTTGAGCCACAGTGCCACTTCCGGTTTTCTAGTGGTTTATTGAAGAGTCTCACGGACTTTTCTGCCAGGGCTAGCTTTGAACCGAGATCCTCAGATCTCAGTCTCCTCAGTAGCTAGGATTACAGACGTGAGCCACCATGGTCTGGCTCTGTGAGACTCTTATCTCAATTAACCACTCAAAAATTGGAAGCATGATGGCTGAAAAGGTGCCTGGCTCAGTGGTAGATTGCTTGCCTTACATGCATGAGGCCCTGGTTCGATTCCTCAGCACCATATACACAGAAAAAGCTGGAAGTGGGCGCTGTGGCTCAAGTGGTAGAGCGCTAGCCTTGAGCTGAAGAGCTGAGGGACAGTGCCCAGGCTGAGTTCAAGCTCCATGACCAACAAAAAAAAAAAGGAAGCAGAGCTGTGGTCTAAAATGGCTGGATACTAGCCTTGAGTGAGAAAGCTTGAGGAGAGTGCCCAGGTCCTGAGTTCAAGCCCCACAACCGAAAAATAAACAAAATAAAATGCAAACCAGACCACATTATGCTCTTGCTTAAAAAATTACAAAGAAGGGCTGGGAAGGTGGCTCAGTGCATGCCCAAGGCCCTGAGTTCGATTCCTCAGCACCACATAAGCAAAAAGAAAAAAGCCAGAAGTGGCATTGTGGCTCAAATGGTAGAGCACTAGCCTTGAGCTGAAGAGCTGAGGGACAGTGCCCAGACCCAGAGTTTAGGCCCCACAACCGGACCCAAAAAAAAAAAAGTTACAAAGAAGTCTGATGCTGGTGGCTCACACAGGTAATCCTAACTATTAAGGAAGCTGAGATCTGAGGATCAAAGTTCAAAGCCAGCCCAGGCAGAAAAGTCTACAAGATTCTTATCTCCAATTAAGCATCAAAAAAAAACTGGGAGTGGAGCTGTGGCTCAAAGTGACAGAGCACTAGTCTTGTGTTTGCTAAGCACTCTATTACTTGAATCATACCCCCCACCTTCTTCCCCTAGATTTTTACATGAAAGCACCTTAAAGATATCTTATTCAGATCATGGCACAATTATCACCTCTTTTCTGTATGGGCATGTATATTCTACAACTGGGGCTTGAACTCAGAGCCTCAAGCTCTTGTTAGCTTTCTTGCTCAAAGCTGGTGCTCTACCACTTAAGCTATACATCTACCTCTAGGTTTTTGTTGATTAATGGGATAAAGAGTATTGTTGGCTTTAAAACTTAATCCTCAAATCTCAGCCACCTGAGTATATTTGTCACCTCTTAAATAACTTCCCTATCTAAGGAGTACTTCAGAAAAACATAGGAGTTGTTATCTTTTGTGTATAAGAAAAGTATCAGAGCTGGGCACCAGTGGCTCATACCTATAATCTTAGCTAGTCAGGAGGCTGAGATCTGAAGATCATGGTTCAAAGCCAACCCAGGCAGGAATATGCATAAAATTCTTATCTTTAATAAATTACCAAAAAGCCAGAAGTACAGCTATGGCTCAAGTGGTAGAGTGCTAGCCTTGAGCAAAAGAAGCTCAGGGACAGGGTTCTTAGTTTAAGCCCCAAAACTGACACCAAAAAACAAAACAAAAAAAAAAAAAAAGAAAGAAAAAGTCTACACCTCCATCCACTTCCCCTAATACTTGCTTTCAGCTAGAAATTGTGGCAGGGATACCAGATAAACTAATAAATAGCTATCTATGGGGGAACCAAGTAGACAAGGGCAAGGATGGAAATGAGAGTTCTCATAGTCACTTAGAATACCTGCTTAAGAACCTAGGTTCATTGTAAACAAACAAACAGGGGCTGGGAAAGTGGCTCAGTGGTAGAGTGCTTGCCTTGCATGCATGAGGCCCTGGGTTCGATTCCTCCACACCATATAAGCAGAAAGCCAGAAGTGGCACTGTGGCTCAAGTGGTAGAGCACTAGCCTTGAGCAAAAGGAGCTCAGGGACAAAGCCCAGGCCCAGAGTTTAAGCCCTAGGACAAGAAAGGAACAAAGGAAGAGAAAGAAAGAAAGGAAGGAAGGAAGGAAGGAAGGAAGGAAGGAAGGAAGGGAGAAAAAGAAAGAGAGAAAGAAAGACAGACGGTAGATTATCCTACTATGCTCTTCAGAAGGTAACTTCAGAGAACTTTGGAAGTGGATAAGTGGCTTCCAACTATGACTGATTGCTATTCACCTTTCAAGTGCTTTGCCTCAAATGATAGATCCAGAAAACAAACAAGGTCCTGCCAGGATGAGTAGGAAACCTGACACACCCCTTGACCTCTTGAAAAAACCAGGATAACTTGCTCCACACCCATCTAATATGCCTTTAATGGTAGCCTGCAAAGGCCTAAAAAAGGGTTCAGGGCCAGCTTCCACTGTTATTTAGTTAAGCCTTTGTGCTCCTTTGGCTGGTTAGGAACTAGAAAGAATAAACTTAAAGATTCAAGATCTGAGGCTCATGGTTCAAAGACAGCCCAGGTAGGAAAATCTGTAAGACTCTCACCTCTAATTAACCACTAGAACACTGGAAGTGGCACTGTAGCTCAAGTGGTAGAGTGTTAGCCTTGAGCAAAAGAGCTCAGGGACAGTGCCTAGGTCCCAAGTCCAAGCCCCAGTCCGACAAGGGAAAAAAAAAAAAAGATTCAAGAGGAGCCCTGGGAGTAACGGAAGCATGGAATGTGACCACCTTGACTATTCTCCTGGTTTGGAAATGAGATTATGTCCAGTTGACTACAAGTGCCAGAAATGAATCGGTATTTACAGAATAAGGATGAAGGCCCATGAATGTAACTGCACTTTAGCTGAGAGCTCGTGGTTCATATTTGTAATCCTAGCTACTCAGGAGGCTGAGATCTGAGGACTGCAGCTCAAAGCCAGCCTGGACAGGGAAATCTACAATGAGACTCTCATGTCTAATTAACCACCAAAAAGCCAGAAGTAAAGTGATAGTTCATATGGTAGAGCACCACCCTTAAGGGATGGTGCCTAGGCCCCAAGGCCTAGGACTGCTTAAGGAAAAAAGAAAAAAAAAAAAAAAAAGATATTTTATTCACTACTTGCCTGATAATCCTGAGCTTCTCCTCAAACGTGCCCCAGGAAGACACAGCTGACTTTGGGATGGCAAGGCCTGCAGAGAAATGACCTAGTGACTGGGATGGGGGCACAGTTTAAGTAACAGAGCACTTGCCTAGAAATGATCTATTGACACTGGCAGCTTTCATATCAAAATGAAGAAAGGGTTTGCTGCATCTAAAGTTGGGTCTTTCTAAGAAGAGAATGGATCAGTAAATACAGTTCTTCACTTAATATGTGTTAGACAGACTGTAGTCAGGTAAGAGGCTTTCAAGGAGATTTCTGGATACCTGATCCACTCACTACATCAATTAAAATGCACAAAGAATTTATCAGGAAAGTCCAGAAGGATAAGACAGACCTTAGTCAGAGTTCATGTAAGAGAAAGGTGGCTACCAACCTACTGCCAGCAGAAATAAGCAATTGACCATTTTATAGCAGAAAATCTCAGAAATGACCTCACAACAAAATCTAAACCAGAGAATCTGAGATATCTTGATATCTTCTTTCTAGATGGATGCTTTTTTTTTTTTTTTTTTTTGCCAGTCCTGGGGCTTGAACTCAGGGCCTGGGCATTGTCCCTGAGCTTCTTTTGTTCAAGGCTAGCACTTTACCAATTGGGCCACAGTGTCACTTCCATTTTTTTTTTCTGTTTATGTGGTACTGAGGAACCAAACCCAAGGCTTCATGCATGCTAGGCACTCTGCCACTAAGCCACATTCCCAGCCCTCTAGATGGAGTCTAAAGGCTCATTTCCCCATGTAGCCACTGCTGCTCCCCTTTCCTAAAGCCTTCTTCAGGGAAGAATGGAGAAGCAGAACACAGTAACTTCCCCCCTGCATTCCATTCCTTGTGAATATTCTCTTTAGTTTATTTTTATTCATTTTTGCCAGTACTGGGACTTGAACTCAGGGCTTATCCCTCTGCTCAAGATTCTTGGTCACAGATGGTATTCCAACATGTGAACCACACCTCTAACCCAGCTTTTCATTGATTAAATGGAGATGGAATCTATGAGTTTTCTGCCCAGGCAGGCTGATTTTAAACTGTGATCTTCTAGGTCTCAGCTAGGATTACACATGTGAGCCACTGGCACTTTGGCTGTATCCCTCATAAATATTTTCTATTAATTCTACAGCCATCTGTTGTCCCACCCAAATCTGCCATCAGACCAACTCACCTGGACTGGCTCCTCCAAGACTCCACTGCAAATAGGGCAGATAAGGTCTTCATCAACATCCCCCTGGAAACGTGTTACATCATACCCCATGTCTCATCACTGAAACCCAGGTCCTAGAAGCAACGAACAGAGAAAAAGAGGTCTGTTCAAGAAAAGCCTATTGATAATATAGTAACAAGAACTCATCGCCAAGACCCATTTATTTACCCAACAAATAATTATTAAGAAGGTACAATGTAGTTGTGTGCCAATGTCTCACTCCTGTAATCCTATCTACTTAGGAAGCTGAGCTCTGAGGATAGCAGTTAGAAGATAGCCCAGGCAGAGGAGTCCAGGAGACTCTTTATCTCCAATAAACTACTCAGAAAAAGCAGGAAATGGCACTATGATTCAAGTGGTAGAACGCTAGCCTTGAGCAAAAGAAACTCAGGGACAGTGCCCTTGACCGGAGTTCAAGCCCTAGGACTGGCAAAAAAGAAAAAAAAAAAGATAGTATGTGATAGTCATTTTAGGGAAAAAATTAAGCTGACTCTAGAAACTTAATTCCAGGACTGGGAATTGTAGAAGATGGTTTAAGGTCACAGCCAGAGGGTTATGGGCATGACTCAAGCTGCAAAGCTAGGAAAGGAGGGCAGTTTTGAGAAGTTTTCTAGGATTAAGCATCCTCAGAAATTAGTCCTATAAGACAGAAAGAAGAGATAACTAGACTGAGGTATTAGGCCACAATGGGTTTGGGGAACAGTAGGTAAGGATAATTAAGGTTGAAAGGAGGATTTAGTAGGGAAGGAGTATCAAGACAGACAACAAAGCTGGAGGCAAGCAAGGAGCAGGTCATGAAAAGAGGTCTGTAAGGAATTTGGACTTTGTCCAGAAGGATATAAGAAATCACTGAAAGACTTAGGAATGATGTGGTAGCTAGAATCATCGTGTAAACTTGGAGGAGACTGGAGACAGGAAGAACTTCTAGGCAGGGCAGGAGAGACTTGATAAGAGTCTCAATTTATGTGGTGGTAATGTAGATAGAGGAGAGAATGAGAGCAAGAATCCAAAGGGTAGCAATTATGCCATGCCCCTTCTCTGGGCTCCTAAAGGTGAGATCTGAACAAATGAGTCCACAGTGTCTCAAACCACTCCTGTGTGCATCAACTCAGAGGCTCATCGGACCAAGGATGAGCACCTGCTGTAAGAGCAAGCAAACCACAGATTAACCATCACCTTGTGGTAACCTAGAAAAGGTCAGCTAGGGGCTGGGAAGGTGGCTTAGTGGTAGAATGCTTGTCTTGCATGCATAAAGCCCTGGGTTCGATTCTTCAGCACCACATAAGCAGAAAAAGCCAGAAGTGGTGCTGTGGCTCAAGTGGTAGAGTGCTAGCCTTGAGCTCAAGAGCTGAGGGACAGCGCCCAGACCCAGAGTTCAGGCCCCATGACTGACCAAAAAAAAAAAAAAAGAAAAGGTCAGCTAAACCAGATTAACTGAGAGCTCCCAAGAGAATACAAATCAGATTGGGGTTGGGAAGGTGGCTCAGTGGTAGAGCGTTTGCCTTGCATGCAGAAGGCCCTGGGTTTGATTCCTCAGCACCACATAAGCAGAAAGAGCCGGAAGTGGCCCAAGTGGTAGAGCACTAGCCTTGCTTGAGCTGAAGAGCTGAGGGACAGCGCCCAGCCCCAGAGTTCAGGCTCCACTACCGACCAAAAAAAAAAAAAATTGAAAGAGTTCCTCCCAATGGAAGAAGCTGAGCATGGTGGCCCACACCTGTTAACCCAGCTATAGAAATAAGCATAAAATAGAAGAGTCTGGGCATGGGCCCAAGCAAAAAGCAAGACCCAATATCTCAAAAATAACTAGTATAGCCAGGTGCTGGTGGATTATACCTGTAATCCTAGATACTCAGGAGGCTGAGATCTGAGGTTTGTAGTTCACAGCCAGCCAGGCAGGCTGTGAGACTTTTTTATTTACTTTTTTTGTCGGTCGTGGGGCCTGAACTCTGGGCCTGGGTGCTGACCCTCAGCTCTTCAGCTCAAGCCTAGCATTCTACCACACCAGCCACAACACCACTTCCAGCTTTTTCCGCTTATGTGGTACTAAGCAATCGAACTCAGGGCCTCATGCATGCAAGGTAAGTATTCTACCATTGAGCCACCTTCCCAGCCCTCTGTGAGACTCTTATCTCCAATAAACCACCAGAAAACTAGAAGTGGCATTGTGGCCTAGGAAGACACTAGCCTTGAGCTAAAGAGCTGAGGGATAGGGCCCAGGCCCAGAGTTCAAATCCCATGACCAACAACAAAAATAAAATAACTAGTGTGAGAAAGGGATGGAAGCATGATTCAACAATAGAGTACCTGCCTAACAAGCTCAAAGCCCTGAGTTCAATACTCATTACCAGGGGCTGGGAAGATGGCTCAGTGGTAGAGCGCTTGCCTTGCATGCCTGAGGCCCTGGGTTCAATTCCTCAGCACCATATAAGCAAAAAGAAAAAAGCCGGAAGTGGCACTGTGGCTCAAGTGGTAGAGTGCTAGCCTTGAGCTGAAGAGCTGAGGGACAGCGCCCAGGCCCAGAGTTCAGGCCCCACGACCGGACCAAAAAAAAAAAAAACCAAACAAAAAAAAAAACTCACTACCACCAAACAAACAACAATCTCTTCTGCTTAGTCCATTGGAACACTAACTCTATGTTTTTCTGGGTTTTTTTGTCTTTTTTTTTTTTTGTCGGTCGTGGGGCTTGAACTCTGGGCTTGGGTACTCGGTCCCTGTGCTCTTCAGCTCAAGACGAGTATTCTACCACTTGAGCCACAGCGCCACTTCCAGTTTACTAGTGGTTTATTGGAGATGAGAGTCTCACAAACTTTCCTGCCCGGACTGGCTTTGAACTGTGATCCTCAGATCTCAGCCTCCTGTATAGTTAGGATTACAGGTGTGAGCCACTGGCGCCCAGTTCTAACTCTATTTTATGGAATGAAATGTAGCCTGGTTCTAGAATAGAAAATAAAGCCATTTGGGGCTGTAGCTCTGTGGCAGAATGCTTCCTTAGCATGATCCAGGCCCTGAGTTCTAGCCCCAAGAAAACAGAGAATAGAAAATAAAGCCAATTGAGATTCTTTTTTTTGGGTAAGTTTTGGGACTTGAACTCAGGGCCTGGGCACTGTCATTCAGCCTCTTTGTGCTCAAGGCTAGCATTCTACCACTTGAGCCACAGCACTATTTTTGTTGTTAATTGGAGATAAGAATCTCACAGGGGGGCTAGGAATGTGGCTTAGTGGTAGAGTGTTTGCCTAGCATGCATGAAGCCCTAGGTTCCATTCCTCAGTACCACATAAACAGAAAAAGTCAGCAGTGGCTCCATGGCTCAAGTATTAGAGTGCTAGCCTTGAGCAAAAGAAGCTCAGGACAGTGCACAGGCCATGAGTTCAAGCCCCAGGACTGGCAAAAAAAAAAAAAAAATCACAGGGACTTTTCTGTCCGGGCTGGCTTTGAACTTCAATCCTCAGATCTCAGCCTTCTCAGTAACTAAGATTACAGGCATGAGCCACTGGCACCCAGAAGGCTTGCGATTCTTATGCTTGGTTATGTGCAATTCTAGCACTTTGGAGGCTGAGGCAGGAAAACTGCCTTAGTCAAGGAGTTATAGCCTAGACTTGGCAACATAGAGATAATACTGTCTCTAAACAAAAAGGAAGAGAAGGAGGAAAGGTAGAAAAAAGGGAGGGAATAGAGAGAGAGGAGAGATGGAACTGGGGGCATCAGGCCAAGGAAAGAAAGGAGGGGCTGGGTGCTGGTTGCCCACCCCTGTAATCTTAGCTACTCAGGAGGTTGAGATCTGAGGATCACAGGAGCCTGGCAGGTAAGCTGGTGAGACTCTTATCTCTAATTAAGCACCCAAAAAAAGACAGAAGTAGAGATGTGATTCAAGTGGTAGAGCATAGCCTTGAGCAAAAGATAGTGGCCAGACCCCGAATTCAAGCTTCAGGACCCTCGCAGACATACACGACAGGAAAAGAACAAAGAAAAGGAAAAAGAAAAAAAAATTAATAACATGAATTTGAGCCACAGTTCTAGCTACACCATGACCAAATGCCATGTCCTCAGGCAAGTTACTTAACCTTTCCAGACCTGTTTCCTTACTCTGTGTGATGTGAAACATCCTAGATTACATAAGATCTAAAGTGCTCTGCAAGTTCTATGATTCCATGACTAGGAATGTAAAACAAATAGGTAAATTAGGTGGCAACTATTATAAAAGGTGCCCTGACTTCACCTTGAGTAGCAAGGATTATAGGCATGAGGCAATAGCACCACAACTTCGTCTTGCTGCCTTTTAGGTCACTCTTTTGACTAATTAGGTAAAAGGAAGTGACTGTTTTTATTTAAGCAATAGAATCCTTAGACTGAAATTACCTTACTCCTTCTCTTAAGAGCTCAAAATTCCAACTGGGCACCAGTGACTCACGCCTGTAATCCTAGCTACTCAGGAGGCTGAGATCTGAGGATCAAGGATCTAAGCCAGCCCGGGCAGGAAAGTCCGTGAGATTCTTATCACCAATAAACTACTAAGAAAAAGCTGGATGAGGCTCTGTGGCTCCAGTGGTAGAGCACTAGCCTTAACTAAAAGAACTCAGGGGCAGGTACTGAGTTCAAGCCTCAGGACCAGAAAAAAAAAACTCAAAAAACAAAAACTCAAGTTTTCTCACTTGTGAGATGAAAGGGTAAGTTACATTGTCTCTATGGTCTTTCTTAGTTCTAGAATGCAATGATAGATAATGAATTTACCACAGGGGATTCTCCCCTTTTCCCAGTATTGGGGCTTGGACTCAGGGCCTTGTCCTTGCTCTGGTTATTTTTTGGAGAGAAGGGGCAGTCCTGGGGCTTGAACTTGGGGACTGGGCACTGTCCCTGAGCTTTTGCGCTAAAGGCTAGCATTCTACCACTCGACTCACGATCCACTTCTGGCTTTTTGTAGTTAAATGGAGATAAGAGTCTCATGGACTTTCTTCCCAGAGCTAGTTTCAAACCACAGACCTCAGATCTCAGCTTCCTGAGTAGCTGGGATTACAGGAGCAAGCCACTGGTGCTTGGCTATTCTGGTTATTTTTGTGATAGTGTTACTATTTACAAGAGCCTACTTGAATTGTGATCTTATTTATACTTCCTTCTATAACTGGAATGATAAACACATACTATAATATCCAGATGTTTCCTGTTGAGATGGGAGTCTCGAAAACTGTTTGGCCCAGACTGGCCTGGAACAGGGATTCTCTGATTATAGGTATGGCAATTCAGTTTACTTAGTTGAATTTACAAAAGAATTCAGAAGGCTTATAGTTCTTTTTTTCTTTTTCTTTTTGTCAGTCATAGGGCTTGAACTCTGGGCCTGGGTGCTGTCCCTGAGCTCTTCAGTTCAAGGCAAGAGCTCTACTACTTGAGCCACAGCGCCACTCCCGGTTTTTTGGTGTTAATTGGGGATAAGAGTCTCACAGACTTTCCTGCCTGGGCTGGCTAGGCTTATAGTTCTTTTAACAACTCATCCATTGCCTATGCTGGGGTGGGGAATCTTTTTTTCTCTGCTAGGGGCCATTTGGGTATTTATAACATCATTCACAGGCCATATAAAATGATCAATTCAAGAAGATGGCTACAGGAAACCAATGCAAAGCATGTGTCTGTACTGTCATTACCAAATAATTTTACAGGTCTATATAGCCTTTGGGCCAGATGTTCCCCACCATTAGGAAAGTAAGGCCTGCCAGGTTTCAAAGGTTAGTAGACTTCCCACTTTTCCACCAACACTCAACATTATTTCTGTGGTTACTCCAAGTGTCATCTTCATCTTTTTTTTTTTGGTCCAGTTGTGGGGCCTGAACTCTGGGCCTGGGCGCTGTCCCTCAGCTCTTCAGCTCAAGGCTAGCACACTACCACTTGAGCCACAGCACCACTTCCGGCTTTTTTCTTTTTCTTATGTGGTGCTGAGGAATTGAACCCAGGGCCTCAGGCATGCAAGGCAAGCGCTCTACCACTGAGCCACCTTCCCAGCCCATCTTCATCTTAAATATAGAACACTGCACTGCCAACAAAGAAATGCAGAGGAGGGCTGGGAATATGGCTCAGTGGTAGAGTGCTCGCCTAGCATGCATGAAGCCCTGGGTTCCATTCCTCAGTACCACATAAACAGAAAAAGCTGGAAGTAATGCCATGGATCAAGTGATAGAATACTAGCCTTGAGCAAAAGAAGTGCAGGGACAGTGGAAGCCCCAGGACTGGGGAAAGAAAGAAAGAAAGAAAGAAAGAAAGAAAGAAAGAAAGAAAGAAAGAAAGAAAGAAAGAAAGAAAGAAAGAAAGAAAGAAAGAAAGAAAGAAAGAAAGAGAAAGAAAGAAAGAAAGAAAGAAGGAAAGAGAGAAAGAAAGAAAGAAGAAAGAAGGGAACAAGGAAGGAAAGAAGGAAGGAAAGAAAGAAGGGAAGAATGAAGGGAAGAAAGAAAGAAGGAAAGAAAGAAAGAAATGCAGGGGAAAGAGCAAACACAATTCTTATCCTCAAATTAAGGTGCATAAGCCTAGTAAAATACACAGGATATAAGCCAGGCACCAGTGGCTCATGCCTGTAATCCCAGCTACTCAGGAGGCTGAGTTCTGAGGATCGTGAGTTTTAAAGCCAGCCCCCATGAGACTCTAATCTCCAATTAACCACCAGAAAACTGAAAGTGGCGCTGTGGTTCAAGTGGTAGAGTGCTCACCTTGAGCTGAAGAACTCAGGGAAAACACTCAGGCCCAGAGTTCAAACCCCATGACTAGAAAAATTTAAAAAAAAAACAAAACATGAAACTTATTAAGCAATTATCAGTAAGATTATTATTGTGAGTAGTAGGGGGCATGGCTTAAGTGGCACAGCACTTGCTTAGCAATTGCCAGAACCTGATTTTAAATGCCAGTACCACCAAAAAATAAGATAATTAGTGGGAGACATAAATACTCAATAAACAGGGTAGTATAGGTTAATATCAGAAAGCTTTCTGCATCATTTGAACCAATCACAGGTCTTCTGTTTTCAGTTGTGGCACTTGGGTCTTCGAGTAAGCCATTGCACATTTCAAAAGGGTGCTTTACTATAACAGAACTTTATATTTAACAACAATAAAACCCCTCCAAAGGTGTTTTAGAAATCAGGTTTTCTAGGACAGAAGGCCTGGCAGAAAAAAAGAGGTGAAGCATGGAATGGGGTTCCAAACCAAAGCTCTTTACCTTCCAAATGGTGGGGGGTAGGTTCCCTGTTTACAAGGTTCCAACCCCCTGATGCCTCCACTCAGTGCCACTCAGGAGATACTCCAAGAAACCCATCTTGTTGGCTAATCACCGACTGAATCTTCCTTCCTAGGGACAAGTTCCATCGCCAAGGGATGGATGTGATGTCACAATCGGGAGCACTCTATAAATAGGAAGAAGGAAGAGAAAGGTGAGTCAGGGAACTCCTCTCTACTTGGTGGTGAGACTGGACAGACTTGGATCTGGTGAGTGGGTGACAGTTGAGGAGAATGTGCTATCTCCTTTAAGGACTGAAGGTTCCTGTGTGAAGCATATGGGACTACCCTGGAAAGGGACAGAACTGACTAAAGAATCTAGTGGAAGTATATGGCCCAGTAGATTCAAATATATCTGAGAAGAGGGAAGAAAAGGACACAAAGACAGAGGAGAGCTGTTCAAAGATAAAATTTTAAATTAGGGGCTGGGAAGGTGGCTCAGTGGTAGAGCGCTTGCCTTGCATGTACGAGGCCCTGGGTTCAATTCCCCAGAACCACATTAAGCAAAAAGAAAAAAAGCCAGAAGTGGCATTGTGGCTCAAGTGTTAGAGAGCTAGCCATGAGCTGAAGAGCTGAGGGACAGCACCCAGGCCCAGAGTTCAGGCCCCATGACCGAACCCCCCCCCAAAAATAAATAAATAAATAATAAATTAAATTTTTTTAAAAAAGAAAAAAGCCAGAGGTAGAACTGTGGCTCAGTGGTAGCATACTAGCTTTGAGCAAAAAAAGCTCAGGGACAGTGCCCAGGCCCTGAGTTCGAGCCCCAGGAGCAGCACCAAAAAAACAAAAACAAAAAAAGATTGTATTAGGCACATGTAATAACTAATATTAATGGTTCCAAGTTGGTGGCTAGATAAACCCATAACTTACTTGTATACTATGATGCTTTAATGGTTCGAAAGTGCTTTCACATAAATTATTTACTTTTTTTTCTTTCCCCCTGCTGGTAAGAGTTGAACTCAGGGCCTCAGTCTCTCACTTGACATTTTCCAATCAGGCTGGCACAATACTTCAGCATTTATTTCATTTAAATTGAATTCTGGAGTCAGGAGTGGTTCATGTCTACAATCTCACCCAAGAAGCTGAGGCAGTAAAATCAAGAGATCCAGGCCAGCACAGGCTACAAAGATATACCTCTATCTTGCAAAAAGAACTCTGATCCTACCCTCTAACTAGAAAATATTATTTGGAGATAGTAAAGAACTTGGTATAGGTACAATTCTCTTTCTTTTTTTCTTTTTTCTTTTTTTTTTTGTTGGTCATGGGGCTTGAACTCTGATCCTGGATGCTGTCCCTTAGCAATTCAGCTCAAGGTGAGAGCTCTACTATGTGAGCCACAGTGCCATTTCCAGTTTTCTGGTGGTTAATTGGAAATAAGAGCCTCACATACTTTCCTGCTGGGGCTTAGCTTTGAACCATGATCCTTAGATCTCAGACTCTTGAGTAGGTAAGATTACAGGCGTGAGCCACCAGCACCCACCCAATTCTCTCTCTCTCTCTCTCTTTTTTGTTGGTTGTGGGGCTTGAACTCTGGGCTTGGGAGCAGTCCCTGCGCTCTTCAGCACAAGGTGAGCGCTCTACTGCTTGAGCCACAGCAGCACTTCTGGTTTTCTAGTTGTTTATTGAACATAAAAGTCTCACAGACTTTCCTGCTCGGACTGGCTTTGAACGATGGCCTGCAGATCTCAGCCTCCTGTGTAGCTAGGATTACAGGCATGAGCTACTGGCGCCTGGCAATTCTTTCTTAAAGCAAGAAATACTTCTGAGATGAGGTTGAGAAAAAAAAAAAAAAAGAAAAAAAAGAAATTGTTTTTAAGTATGCAACTGAAAAGCAGTAAGACTAAGCTGATGAGACTCATTCCTCCAAGAGGAAGACAAGACTTTGGATAGAATGTGCTAAGAGATCTATTCAACCACATATCAGAAAACTTTAGTCTTTTCCTCACCAGTATGTGTCTATTGACAGTTTAAAGAATAGGATAGTAATGATTTTTATACATAATTACAAAGACATTAAAAAAAAAAACTAGGCTAGGAATGTGGCTTAGTGGTGGAGTACTTGCCTAGCATGCATGAAGCCCTGGGTTCTATTCCTCAGTACCACATAAACAGAAGAAGTTGGAAGTGGCACTGTAGCTCAAGTGGTAGCATGTTAGCCTTGAGCAAAAGAAGCTCAGGGATCGTGTCCAGGGCCTGAGTTCAAGCCCCAGGACTGAAAGGAAAAAAAAAAAAAAACCACAAAGTCCATTTTTCTTCTCAGTCTGGTCCATGCTCATTAACCACAATATGCTCAGCATTTCTGGGCTTCAACTCAAGACCTAGGTATTATTCTTCAGCTCTCTTACTCAAGGCTAGTGTTCTATCATTTGAAATTAAGTTCCACTTCCAGATTTTTTTTTTTTTTTTGCCAGTCATGTGGCCTGAACCCTGGGCCTGGGCGCTGTCCCTCAGCACTTCAGCTCAAGGCTAGTGCTCTACCACTTGAGCCAAAGCATCACTTCCGGCTTTTTCTGCTTATATATGCCTCATGCATGCAAGACAAGCACTCTATCACTGAGCCCTTCCCAGCCCATACTCACAGATTTTTGCTGGTTAATTAGAGATAAAAGTCTTACAAACTTTGCAGCCTGGGCTGGCTTCAAGCTATGAGCCTCAAATCTCAGTCTCCTGAGTATCTAGGATTACAGATGTGAGCCACTGTTGTCCAGCCATTCAGCATATATTTTAAGCCACTTAGTGCGATACAGGCACAAAGCCAGTAGTAATACTTTCTCTTCCACGTGGTCCAGTGGTAGGCAGGAGACTATGTTTCTTGCCACTATTTCTTCCTTTTCCACTCATAATAGAGACATATAATGCTTCCATCATTTGGACAACACCCTATTGCCCAACACTCTGGCACGTGCACCTGCACCTCAAGAAATGCTTCCAGGAACCAGTGCTGTTGGCTATGCTCAATGTCCTAGTGATAAATTCCATACTCAGCAAATAGCTGCCCACACTGAGAAAACCAATCCTACTTCAGGGTTCTTCCAATTGAATGAAGAGTCCAGAGTGAGAAGACTTTGGATTCTAGTCCTAGCTCTAAGCCACACTGACCCACAGCGCCACTTCCAGCTTTTTCTGTTTTTGTGGTTCTGAGGAATGGAACCCAGGGCTTCATTCATGCTGGGAAAACACTGTACCACTCAGCCACATTCCTAGCCTAGTTTTTTAAAAATGTCTTTGTAATTATGTGTAAAAATAAGCAGTATCCTATTTTATTCTAACAAAGCCTTTAAACTACCAATAGACATATACTGGTGAGGAAAAGACTAAAGTTTTTCTGATATGTAATTGAATAGCACATTCTATCCAATTAGACAACTTTAGACAATCCATGGAACCTTTCTGTGGTTTTCATTTTCTCCAACTGTCAAACAGAAATTGATACTAGCCTGTATCTACTTTATATATTGTCCTGCAAATCAAATGAGATAATAAATGTGAAACTGTACTTAACAGGGCTAATCTCAGTTAAGGTATTTGTAACAAAATGGCAAAATAAATTCATAATGAGGGCCAGAGGAAATGTTGCTTCTTCTTTTCAATTACCAGGAACTTGTACTGTTCTGGTGGTTCATTCCTATAATCCTAGCTACTCAGGAGGTTAAGATCTCAGGATGGTGCATGGTTCAAACAAAAGAGTCCATGAGACTATTTTTTTTTTTTTTTTGCCAGTCCTGGAGTTTAAACTCAGGACCTGGGCATTGTCCCTGAGCTTCTTTAACTTAAGGCTAGAGTTCTACCACTTGAGCCACAGTGCCACTTCCAGCTTTCTCTGCTTGTGTGGTGCTGAAGAATCGAACTCAGGGCCTCATGCTGTGCAAGGCAAGCACTCTACCACTGAGCCACCTTCCCAGCCCTTCCAATTAACCATAAAAAAGCCAGAAATGATAGCTTATGTGAGGTAGATAGCTCAAGTGATAATAATACCAGTCTTGAATGAAAGAGCTAATGAACAGTGTTCAGGCCCTGAGTTCAAGTCCCAGTATGTGTGTGCACATGTGTGTATACATACTCACATACTCTCCTGGAAGCCAAGCCTAGCCACAAGGTTGATGGGGGCACATAGGGTAATTACACTTGCACTCCCAACATTCCCTACCACTAGTCCACCCCACTCTTTCCTAGGGAAAGACTAACAGCCATAAGCACCATCTGTCAGACTCTAAAACCACCCTACAAGAGATGAGACTGTCACAGAGATGTCTCCAAAAACAGCGGCCTCTCTAACAGCTGCATTTGCTAATAGGGGAAACAAAGTCCATTTCTTAAAGAGGAAGATGTCTTAAAGGGGTTTCTCACCCTTTTTTCTGCTCCCCTTCTCCACACTCCCCAATCTCTCTGCATCTGATGGGGCAGGCTTTTGGGATGTGTGAAGCTGCGAACCAAGGCCAAGGATGTGAGGAATGTGAGATTCCTTCACGGGGGTGGGGGTGGGAGGGGAAAAAAAAAGAGCGAGGAAGGAATGAAAGAGGAAGACAAGGCTGCCAAAAGACAAGGCATGGGAGAGGAGCCAAGCTCTGGCTCTTTTGAAGGCGGAGGTTTAGGTTCCGCCGTGCTTGCAGAGGTGGGCCCCCCCCGGAACGTTCCTCTGGTCGTCCCCAAGCCCGTCAATCATTGCCAGGTTAAACACCACCACGTTGTTCCCCCCGGGGTGTGCTCCTCGGGATCGGGTGACCAGCCCAAGGCCCCTCCCGCCCGTCATCTCCTACTCCAGTGGACCTTTCTCAACAACCCAGCCCCCAGAGCCCCCTTCTCACCTCCCAACTCCTCCCCAGCACCGCCTCCCCCCATTCCATGCCCCCCTCCCCGTGGGACCTCGCTCCCTCCTCTCCCACACCCTCTTTTTAAGTAGAAGCTCGCGCCGACGCAGTACGCGCCGCCCAGGGCCCGGCCTGGACTCTACGTACCCAGGCCTGGCTGGAGCTGAGGCAGCGGCGGCCACCGGATGGCCCCGGTACCGGGTCTCAGCCTTTCCTGTGAGAGGAAAGGGAAAGGGAAGGACGGGGGAAGAAGGTTCGGACCACTCGTCGCTGTCCTGACGGATCCTTCTCCCCGCCCACTGCTGCTACGCAACCCGGCGGAAATTCGTCACTAGGCCCCGCCTCTTTGTTTAACCTGGACAGGACTGGGAAGCAACGAACAGCCAATGAGGAAGCTCAGAGGCTAGCCAGGCCTCTCCCTTTAGACCGGAAGTTCTTATGGTCCCATCCAGCACTTTATAGCCATTGGATGGGATGTCTCTATGTTCTTTCCCAGCGTGAAAGGCCCGGGCCAACCTGGGTTTGAATAGCTTGGCACAGCGACACTTGGTTTGGAAGGGCCGCGCAGGTCTTGTGTCCTTGAGGAGCGGGTCGAGATCGCTGGGCAGTTGGCCTGTAATGTGACTCGCCGTCTTCCCGGCCTCTCCAGAGCCGTGGTCAGCATCTCGGGGCCTCCCAACCCTGTGACTCACAGTCATGGGAATGGATACTGCCAGTTAACTAGGCGGCCGTGGGGCGGGGAGTGGAGGAGTGTCTCACCGCAGAGCTTTCATCTAGGGTGTCGAACGGGTTATCCGCCTCTGCCCAGCCACTCTCCTGCCTTATCCACGTGGGCTCTCTAAACACTCATAGAGTGCCCTGAAACCACTAAGGAAAGAGAAGAAACATCTTTCCTCCTAGGTTTTGAGTTGTTTTCCTTAGGTTACAGCACCGTGGTTGGGCGGGAGAGCACCAGGGTTCCGAGGAAAGTCATGGTGGAGCCTAAAGAGCTCTATAATAAGGTAAGGGATTAATTAAACAAGCTAAGACATTACAATTACAAAACTTCTTAAGATTAATCTGGTATTAAGTAGTGTTCATTTTGGATATTCGCTAAGCAAATGATAATCTACATTAGTGTGTCTTCACTTAATTGGTTTATACACAATTGTGTGTGGCACTGGGGTTTGAACTCAGGACCCTTGCTAACCAAGCACTCTACCACTTGAACTATACCTCCAACCACACTACCTTTTGTTAATCTGACAGGTCCCAAAGAGAACTGAAGATCAGGCTCGGAACTCAGATCTAATGAGATAAAAAGCAGTAGGAACAAGTGGCTTGCGAATTAATGAGACACTTTTTTTTTTTCGGTTGTGGCTCTTGAACTCTGGGCCTGGGCGCTGTCCCTCAGCTCTTCAGCTCAAGGCTAGCGCTCTACCACTTGAGCTACAGCGCCACTTCCAGCTTTTTCTGTTTATGTGGTACTGAAGAATCAAACCCAGGGCCTCATGTATGCGAGGCAAGCACTCTACAATTGAGCCACCTTCCCAGCCCCGACGCTTGTTCTTTATGTCTTGGTTTCCATTTCTTTCAAAAGGGAGGTGAGTCTGCCCTACTGTCTGACTCTGGTGTGAATGCCACTTGTCCCAAAAAGCCTCCCTGACTGGTTAGTGAATTAGTGATGAAGACCTCAAATCAGAAATAGAGGTGAGGATTGGAGCAGTAGGCTACTTATTAGTAGCCACTAATAAGTGGCTATCATATCCTAGGCACTGCTTTTTACATGACTTCCCTTTCCCCCTCCCCCCCCATCTGTAAGGTAGATTTACACAGTTAAGATTTGTCGAATGAAGTGAGGCTCTGGCTGGGATTCAAACTTTATTTCCGCTGAATTCCCAAGCCTTTAGTCTCTTCCCCCCATTGTGTCACTACTAGTTAAGAAAAAAGAAAGTAGGGCCCACATATATATTCAAGCCAAATAAAGGGAAAATGTCCCTTTAGGCGCCCCCTGGTGGTTCATCCTCCTATGGAGCTAAGCATCTCCCAGGTTCCTTTAATACCTGAAATCCGCCCCCGTCGCAGCGCGTGAATCGCCGAACCCGGATTGGCTGGGCGGGTGCAGGCGGTGGGGCACAGGGCAGTGCTGATTGGACAGTGGGGCTCAGTCCGAGAAAAACTTCCGGAAATGTCCGTACTCCCGCGCTCCAGCGGGCAGCATCCGGTGGCAGCAGGACCTGTGGCTCCCCCTGCGGGCGGCTCGGCGGCGTGCAGAGTCCGACCTGCTGGCTGGGTGGGTGGTGGTCGCTGAATGGGGGAAGGGGATGTACCGAGTCCCGAGTTGTCCGGATGAGGGTTGGGGAAGGTTTGGCGAGTAAAATTGCATGCCGTGGCTCTGCACCAGTTTTCCTACGCTCATCTCTGTCGCCTACCCCGGTGCAGGAGACTGAAAGCATCCCGGTAGAGGGCCTCCGAATCCCCAAACATCTTATCCAGAAGCCCCCAAGTTCGGATCTAAAAATTCGAGGCCCCCAGAGAAGTTCGCTTCTAACCTTCTAGAAGGGTTCCAGGGTTGGAGACGACCTGATCCCAACCCAGGTATAGTGAATAGGCAGGCCTTGGGAAATGGAGCATGGGCGGGCAAAGGCTCCAAGCCTTAAGTCTTCCTTCTCCTATTCCCCTTTCCAGAAGGGAGCCAAGTCTTGGGCAGCATGACGACGGAGACCTTCGTGAAGGATATCAAGCCCGGGCTCAAGAATCTGAACCTTATCTTCATTGTGCTGGAGACAGGTGGCTATGCTGGTGCAGCGGGTGCGGGCGGTGGGATGCAGGGAAGGGTGAGGGCTGAAGGTGGCAGGGGAGAATATCTGCTTTCTTGTTCCAAGGATGGCAGGGTGCGCCCAAAGACACAGTTCACTCCTCCTCTCTCTTAGACTACGACAGAGAGAATTGCAGTGGGGAAAATAGATAGCACTCTGGCCACACTCAGTCTTCTAGGGCCCACGTGGGCCTTTTTCCACTCAGGGACCTCTCCATGGTGCTGGCCCTCCACTGTTGACCCTCCCCCCTCTCTCGCCCCCCCCCCCCACACTTCGGGCTCCCCATCCCCACACTCACACACACACACACACACTGGAATTTGGGCTTTGCTCTCTTGTACATGGACTACCTCAGTCAAATCTAGATCTCATCCCTATAGCCATCATCACCCTATTCCCATGACCATCTTCTCCCATTTCTCTCTTCTCTTCAGGTCGAGTGACTAAGACAAAGGACGGGCACGAAGTTCGAACTTGCAAAGTAGCAGACAAAACAGGCAGCATCAATATCTCTGTCTGGGATGATGTGGGCAATCTGATCCAACCTGGGGACATTATCCGGCTCACCAAAGGGTAAGGCACCTATAGATTCCTGGGTAACCAAGCAACAAAGAAAGATGGGGTTAAAAGTCCTTAAAAATCTTCTGAAGAGGAAGTGGCGCTGTAGCTCAAGTGGTAGAGCGCTCACCTTGAGTTGAAGAGCTGAGGGACAACGCCCAGACCCAGAGTTCAAGCCCCACGACCGACAAAAAAAAAAAAAAAAAAAAAAAATCTTCTGAAGACTCAATCTTGCCTTTTTTTTTTTTTAACCTCACAGGTACGCATCAGTGTTCAAAGGTTGCCTCACATTGTACACTGGCCGTGGGGGTGATCTGCAGAAGATTGGAGAGTAAGTGCTCTTAGGAATGGAGATCAATCAGTGGTAACCCAAATGGGGGATGGGGGGGTTAGATTTGCTTGGGGGCAACATAAGGGTGTGTAGATAATGCCCTGTGTCTAGATTTTTCTGAGGCCTCCAGCAATGGTCCAGAGTATAAGTCCAAGACTTTGGTTTTCTCCCTTTGCAGATTCTGTATGGTTTATTCTGAAGTTCCTAACTTCAGTGAGCCCAACCCAGAGTATAGCAACCAGCAGGCACCCAACAAAGTGGTGAGTCTCCTAGCCTGAAGGTAGAGAAAGTGGTCGGGACAGGTGTCGTGGGGAACAGGATCTCAGTGTGTAATCTGTGCCTTCAGGTGCAGAATGACAGCAGCCCTACGGTCCCCCAGGCTACCACCGGAGCCCCTGTCACCTCTCCAGGTACATTTCCTTCCATCCATGACACCTCCTGTTCCCTTGCTCACCTCATCCTGGAAAGATTCATTTCCCTCATGATATTCCTCTCCACCTAATTCTTCTCACTGGACTCTCACTTTTGATGCCTTTTGCATTCTCAACTCTGACTTCCCCACACATGGCAGTGACTATTGAGAGCAAGAAAGCTTACATGAAGCCGGGCGCTGGTGGCTCACACCTGTAATCCTAGCTACTCAGGAGGCTGAGATCTGAGGATCGCGGTTCAAAGCCAGCCCGGGCAGGAGAGACCGTGAGACTCCTATCTCCAATAAACCACCAGAAAACTGGAAGTGGCGCTGTAGCTCAAGTGGTAGAGCGCTCGCCTTGAGCTGAAGAGCTGAGGGACAGCGCCCAGGCCCAGAGTTCAAGCCCCATGGCCGACAAAAAAAAAAAAAAAAAATATATATATATATATATATATATATATATATATATATATATATTTGTCAATTCCTTGTAACAAACTCCATTTACATAAATAACATTTTTGAAAGTATAAATATAGCTAGTCAGGGCTGGGAAGGTGGCTCAGTGGAAGAGGTGCTTGCCTCACAGGCATGGAACCCCAAGTTCGATTCCTCAGTACCACATAAACAGAAAAAGCTGGAAGTGGCACTGTGGCTCAAGTGGTAGAGTGCTAGTCTTGAACAAAAGAAATTCAGGGACAGTGCCCTGACCTTGAATTCAAGCCTCAGGATTGGCAAAAAAACAATTTTACTTTTTTAAATTTTTTTTGGTTGTGGGGCTTGAACTCTGGGCCTAGGTGCTGTCCCTCAGCTCTTCAGCTCAAGGCTAGCATTCTATCACTTGAGCCACAGTGCCACTTCTGGTTTTCTGATGGTTAATTAGAGGTAAGAGTCTCATGGACTTTCCTGCCCTGATTGGCTTTGAACCTCCATCCTCAGTTCTCAGCCTCCTGAGTAGCTAGGATTACAGGTGTGAGCCACCAGCACCTGGCAAAAAAATTACATATATATATATGTATTTATATATATATACATATATATAATTTATATTAAAAAATATATACCTAGTCATGCATCTTTTTTTTTTTTTGGTCTGCTGTGGGGCTTGAACTCTGGTCCTGGGCACAGTCCCTCAGCTCTTCGGCTCAAGGCTAACGCTCTACCACTTGAGCCATAGTATGACTTCCATTTTTCTGGTTGTTAATTCAGGATAAGGGTCCCACGAAGGGCTGGGAAGGTGGCTCAGTGGTAGAATGCTTACCTTGCATAAGTGAGGCTCTGGGTTCGATTCCCCAGCACCACATAAAACAGAAAAAGCCAGAAGTGGTGCTGTGGCTCAAAGTAGTAGACCACTAACCTTGAGCTGAAGAGCTAAGGGATAGCGCCCAGGCCAGAGTTTAGGCCCCACAAATCACACACACACACACACACACAGTCTGCCTAGGCTGGCTTTGAACCATGATCCTCAGATCTCAGACTCCTGAGTAGCTAGGATTATAGGCGTGAGTCACTAGCATCCACCTTCATGCATCTTTTAGTGATAAATGTGTTCCCATTTCTTAGGATGTATGATCAGAGTACATGGACACAAACTTGGTGGCATCACCTACAGTACACCTAAGCTATATGGTATAACCTTTTTCTTTTTCTTTTTTTTTTATTTTTCATTACTTTTTTTTATTGTTGTTGTTGTTTTCTGTCAGCACTAGGGCTTGCATTCAGGGCCTTGCACCATTTTTTTTTTGGCCAGGCTTGGTGGTTGAACTTATCCTGACATGGCTGAGTCATGAGCACCATCCCTGTCTGTCTGCTCAAGACTAATGCTTTACCACTTCCAGCTTTTTGCTAATTAATTGGAGATAGGAGTCTCTTGGATTTGCCTTGGGGGCTGGCTTCATACCTCAGCTCTTAGACCTCTTATCCTCCTGCATAACTAGGTTATAGGCACAGGCCACTGATGCCTCGCTAATTTTTCACTACTTCTTTATCTTTTGAACTTTTATTAAAAATTAAGTCACAAGCACACATTAGCCTAGGCTTACACAGGGTCAGGGTTAGAAAAAGGTGGGTATAGAGGAGTCAATGTTAAAAAGAATTAGGAAAACTAAAAGAAAGATCAATGTTAAGTTTTTAGCCATATGTATGTACACACACACACACACACACACACACACACACACACACACATTTTTTGTTGTTGTTGTTCAGTTGTGGGGCTTGAACTCTGGGCTTGGGCACTGTCCCTGCATTCTTCAGCTCAAGGCCAGCGCTCTACCACTTGAGCCACAGCACCACTTCTGGTTTTCTAGTGGTTTTTATTGGAGATAAGAGTTTCACGGACTTTCCTGCCTGGGCTGGCTTTGAACCACGATCCTCAGATCTCAGCCTCCTGAGTAGCTAGGATTATAGGCATGAGCCACCGGCACCCGGCTGATGCCATATATATTTCTTATTCAGCTTTTGTATGTATTTGTAGAAACAAAATGAATCAGCATTTGGTAATTGATTTTAGGAACAGAGGATTTTGTTATCTTCTTTTACTTGTGCCACTGGAAGTCCTTCAGAGGCATGGTGTCGCTCCTCAGCCCCACACTTTCTTTTTTGTCAGTCATTGGTCTTGAACTCTGGGCTTGGGTGCTGTCCCTGTGCTTTTCAGCTCAAGGTGAGCTACCACTTGAACCACAGCACCACTTCTGGTTTTCTGGTGGTTTATTGGAGATCAGAGTTTCATGGATTTTCTTCCCTCGGCTGACTGAATTGCGATTTCAGCCTCCTGAGTAGCTAGGATTACAGGCATGAGCCACCAGCACCCAGCTCTGCCTGACAGTTTCTTAGTAAATAGAAGGGGTACATTCTAAAGTAACAAAAAATGTAGTGCAGGCTGGGGCACTGTAGCTCAAATAATTGAGCCCCTGCCTAGCAAGCAGAACTCACTGAACTCAAACTTAGCATACATGTGTGTATGTGTGTATATACACATATCTGTAAATATGTACACATACGTAAATACATAGGGTAACAATCACTTATTATCAAGTATTATATAAGACACATTAATTAATTGTATGTGCTATGATTTATACGACTAGCATTTCAGTAAGTTTGTTTATCCAGCTTCAAAAAACAGACACATTAGTGATACATTATATTACAACATTACCATGGTTACAGTGTTGCCAGACAATGGGAACCTGGCAGTTTCATTGTAATCCTACAGGACCCCTATCAATGTGGTCAGTTGCTGACTGAAACATTGTTATAGATGGATAAGTGGGAATATCTTCTATGAGTCTGATTCTTTTTTTTTTTTTTTTTGGGGGGGGGGTCTGGTCATGGGGCCTGAACTCTGGGCCTGGGCGCTGTCCCTCAGCTCTTCAGTTCAAGGCTGGTACTCTACCACTTGAGCCATAGCGCCACTTCCGGCTTTTTTCTTTTTGCTTATGTGGTGCTGGGGAGTCAAACCCAGGGCCTCAGGCATGCAAGGCAAGCACTCTACCAATGAGCCACCTTCCCAGCCCCCTATGAGTCTGATTCTGTAGCGAGCCCTCAATAATGCCACAAACTATGACCATTGAATTCCCACCAAAGAAAATAGCACCTGTTTCCAATGGAAAATAAGACTCTTAGTGCTGGGCGTGAGTGGCTCATGCCTGTAATCCTAGCTACTCAGGAGGCTGAGCTCTGAGGACCACAGTTCAAAACTTGGGCAGGAATGTCTGTAAGACAACTTATTTCCACTAAACTACTAAAAGACCTGGAGGTGGAGCTGTGGCTCAAGTGGAAGAGCTAAAGAGTAAAAAAATTAAGGGAACAGCACCTCGGCCCTGACTTTTAAGCCCCAGCACCAAAACAAAGAAAGGTCCTTCTTGGGTGTGGGGGGGAGAGTATCAATGAAATTTTATTTGCTCCCATAAAACAAAACAAATATAAAGATCCTCATTTTTTTGGGGGGAGGGTCCGGTCGTGGGGCCTGAACTCTGGGCCTGGGTGCTGTCCCTCAGCTCTTCAGCTCAAGGCTAGCGCTCTACCACTTGAGCCACAGTGCCACTTTCGGCTTTTTTCTTTTGCTTATGTGGTGCTGAGGAATCGAACCCAGGGCCTCGAGCATGCAAGGCAAGCGCTCTACCACTGAGCCACCTTCCCAGCCCAAGATCCTCATTTTAAAAAAATATTTTTTTGGCAATGTTGGGGATTGAACCCAGAGGCCTGCTGCATGCTATGAACACCACTCTACAACTGACTCACATGCCCAACCCCCTTCCTTACCTTTTAACTTGGAAACGTCTTCATAGCCTTCGCCTTCCTATGCTTCTCCAGTTTTTTCAGCCACCTTTGGTCAGGGGACATTTAACTGAACAGATAATTCTAGTTATGGCTTCCAATGATACGGAGATAAAGAAAAGAAAAATACCATACCAGGGTCAAGGTAGCAACTTCCAAAATGACCCCATTCATACTCACAACTCACCTTGTTTTTTGTATCTGCTTCAATTGGCATTCATGTGGTTCACAGTTAAGTCTGGTGCTTTCGGGATAGGACCTTGTCCTACCTTCACTCTAATTTTTTTGTTTTGTTTTGGGGTCCAGTCGTGGGGCCTGAACTCTGGGCCTGGGCGCTGTCCCTCAGCTCTTCAGCTCAAGGCTAGCGCTCTACCACTTGAGCTACAGTGCCACTTCCGGTTTTTTTCTTTTTTGCTTATGTGGTGCTGAGGAATCGAACCCAGGGCCTCATGCATGCAAGGCAAGCACTCTACCACTGAGCCAACTTCCCAGCCCTTCACTCTCTAATTTTGTGTTTATTCTCCTACCACTAGCTTCTGAGAACCAGAATGGGAATGGACTGAGCACCCCACCAGGTCCTGGTGGTGGCCCCCACCCTCCTCATGCTTCTTCCCACCCTCCCAGCACCCGGATTACTCGAAGCCAACCCAACCACACACCTGCCGGCCCTTCCAACAACCCTGTCAGTAACGGCAAAGAAACCCGAAGAAGCAGCAAAAGATAGCGAGACACTCTTCCTCCCCTCCTGCCACCAACCACAACCCAGGTGTCTGCCTCTGCTGGAGGACCAGACAGCCTTCTGCTGGGCTGCTGGCTTTGGCACAGGGGAGGTGGGTAGCAGTATTTTAGCCACTAAACTTCCCTGGAGAGGTGATTGCACAGTGGTCTTATCCCCCCCCCCCCGCCCCCATATCTACCTTGTCCAGACTGTCCCCTGGGATTCAGAGCCCTCTCTAGAAATGACAGTTGAACTCTTTCTTGTGTGTATGATATGAGGGTCTTATTCCCACCTCTCCTGCCTAAATAAATGTTACCACTCTGCAGTGGACTTCTTTGCTTTTTGTTCTAAAGGAAAATAGTCAACAGCTGGGTATTTGGGAAAGCTGCAGGTCCCAGGAAGTAAAGGGGAGATAGAGGCAAGGAAGCCTAGGTAAAATAGGCCTGTCCCTTTAAGGTAGTGTCCCTCCCCTGCCCCCTCCCTCCAGGTGACCCTTGCCCGCTTGCCTGCCATAGGAAGGCTGGGTTCCCCTTCTGAACGTCCTTCCTGCCTCCTGCTGTCAGGTAATGCCAACCTCAACCCCCTGGACCAGTGGCTCCAATCAGATCTTGCTCCCCTGATCTTCAGCCAGGTCTGAAAGCAGAGGGGAGCCCAGGATTTGTTTTCCTATTTGTCCCCTGCAGAGCTTCCCAGGTGTCCGTTGGTCATTGATTTCTGAACACTGCTCTTATGCTTCCCAGGGTGGGGGATTATTGGTTCTTGGGCTTTCTGGGGTAGGGAATTGCTAAGAACAGTTTCTCTCCCACATGCATCTGGGATTACCACTTACCTGCCTCTCCCTGCTCCTCCTCAATTTAGGGACTCTTGGGTGCAAACTACCCAGGGTGCATGGGGCTGGGGTTGGAAAAAGAGGAAGCTCTGTGGCAGACGTGAGGTAGGTGGGGTGGGAGTACATACAAAGGGTACTAAGTGTTTAGAAGAGGGCGAATTATTTAAGAAGAAGGAAAAAAAATAAGTACAAGTTCTCAACCATGTGGCTTTCTCACAGCAGAGGGGGGCCCTCTCCCAGCCCAAAGTGACCTTTGACCCCCACCCCAGAGAGCAGTGAACCATTAACTCTTCTATATGAACCTTCCCACACTGGCCACACCCCTTGCCCCGCCCCAAAGCAGGTGGGCTAAGACAAGGGAGCCTGTCCATCTCAGCCCTCTATATGACTGACGTGGCCTCCATTGCACCTGGGCACCTGGAGGCTGAGCCCAGGTTCCCCTCCCTGACTCAGGAACCTTGTAACATCCAACCTGCCAGGGACCCGAGGTGGCAACTCTCATCATCAGTAGGGGTGAGCACCTGGGAACTGGGTGGGGTGAGGGGAATAAAGAGATGAGGCAAGATTGGAGGATGGGGGCTGGGTCCGATGTGAAGAGAGCCCTGGTTTGGGGAGCTGCTCTGAAGTCCCGATGACCAACTGTTCCAGAGGAAGGCAATGGGGAGGGAGAGAGAAGACCTGAGCTGAAGCTGCTTTTAACTCTAGACAAAGGAAGGAGGTGGTTTTCCCAGTGGCCCTGAGCTGGAGAGCAGAAAAGTGCCCCTAATTCCCTCCATTTTTTTTTCCACCTAGGGTAAAAACCTCAGGATGTACCAGTGGGACTAGAAGCCAGAACCAGACACTCAAACAGATTCCCCTCCCTATCATGGGAGCTCCAGTGCATTATCTGTTGGCTATCCTGTGTGTGGGAATCATCTTGGGCTGGGTAGGGGGCTCAGTCCCCTACCTAGGCCCTGCTGAGCAGGAGCAGAACCATTACCTGGCCCAGCTGTTTGGCCTGTATGGCGAGAATGGGACACTGACTGCAGGAGGCCTGGCCCGTCTTCTCCACAACCTAGGTCTGGGCAGAGTCCAGGGGCTTCGACTGGGACACCATGGGCCCCAGACAGGGAGGGTTGTACCCTCAGCAGGAGACAATTTGACACACAGGTACTAACCTCTTTCTCCTCCCCCCCCCCCATCCCCGAAATGCTCTTATCCACCAGCTGTTTTAGTGCTTAGCTTAGTCCTTCAAATTACACACCCAAGGAGCAACTCTTCAAGACCCTGCTTGCCTCTATTGCCTCCAAATTTTCTCCTCCAAATTCCTGGAAACTTAAATTCCTTGTTCTTGAGCTGGGATGTAGTTCAATGGTTGAGCACTTGTCTACCATGCTCAAGGTGTTGTGTTCTATTCCCAGCACTGTAAGAAAGCAAATTTTAGAAAGACAATAAATTCCTGGCTGAGTCTCAATGCTCAGTACTCCAAGCTGACTTTGGCTCCCAGTTTGGAGTGCTTCCAGCTTTTTCCTTTAATACCAATGTCACCATTCTTAGGCTCTCCTACAAAGTGACAGTTCTCAAATCTTACCAGGACTGAATCCTGGATCCTAGGAATTCCAGCCCTTCCTAACCTCTTAGGAGAACTCAAGGAAGGTGTTTGAGAGCATGAGCAAGTCCAACTTGCTCTGTTATACATTTCAGGCTCCAGGACCCAGAGCTGAGTGTGGATGTCTGGGCAGAGATGCCTCTGAGTCCCTCAGGCTGGGATGACCTGGAGGAGTCAAAGGCCTCCCACAATGGACCTGCAGCACCTTCGGGCTTGGACCTCTTTCACAGGCTGCTGCTTTTGGACCATTCATTAGCTGACCATCTGAATGAGGATGTAAGTCTGATGGTCTCTAGAAAGGAGCTATGGGATTAGGTGGCCTGAATTGCTTAAGAGTCTATACTTTAATGGTTACTTAAGAAAAAAAAAAAATCTCAGGGGTAGAGCGCTTGCCTTGCATGCATGAGGCCCTGGGTTCGATTCCTCAGCACCACATAAGCAAAAAGAAAAAAGCCGGAAGTGGCACTGTGGCTCAAGTGGTTGAGCTGAAGAGCTGAGGGACAGCACCCAGGCCCAGAGTTCAGGCCCCACGACCGGACCCAAAAAAAAAAACCAGAAAAAGCCAGAAGTAGCACTGTGGCTCAAGTGGTAGAGTGCTAGCCTTGAGCAAAAGCAGCACAGGGACAGTGCCCAGGCCCTGAGTTCAAGCCCCATGACTGGGAAACACAAAAACAAAAAACAAATCCCAATGCGGTCTTTAGGATATATTATTCCAGTATAGTGAGTTGCCACACCCAGTTTAGGGGCGATACACTGCAGAAAAAGAGGGCAGGATCCCAGGATAGCATCTATGAATGATTATCAGGAGTCCTTAGGGAGAAGATGGCTGTTTTCTTGTTTTCTTTTGGCTGTATTGAGGAGCTTGAGCATACCAGATAGGCACTCTACCACAGAAATGGAGTCTCATTGACTTTTTCTTCCTGGGCTGGTCTGGGACTGAGATCCTTCTGATTGATCTCAACCTGCCATGTAGCTGGAATGGTAGGTGTATGCCATCATCTTCTGCTATTGGTCAAGAGTATACGATTATATAGTGGGCTATCTTCAAATAACAGTTCTCCCTATCTCAGCCTCCTAAGTAGCTAGAATTACATGTGTGAGCCTCTTGTGCCCAGCTTAGATGGCTGTCTTTACTTAGATTGAGTGACAGTGAACTTGTTCCAAGACTGTCTGATCCTGAAAAGTAATTGGATGAGAAAGCAGGTTAATGAGTGCCCCATCACAGAAAGCATCCACTTCAAGGCTGGACAAACTTATAAGACTGTTGAGCAGATGGGTGGCATTTCAGATTCTTTTCCATTTGAGGATTCTAGCATTGTCACAAGCTCATCATCAAACAAAGAAGGGAGATGATGGAAATATTCACTGGCATCCAATTTGTCTTGAACTGAACTTTCATTCTTTTTGTTGTTGTTGCTGATCCTGAGGCTTGAACTCAGGGCCTGGCCATTGTTCTCTGATTTTTTTTTTTTTGGTCATTCATAGGGCTTGAATTCAAGGCCTGGGCACTGTGACAGGGCTCTTTTGTTCAAGGCTAGTGCTCCACTACTTTGAGCCACAACACCACATCCAGTTGTCTGATTGTTGATAAAAGACTTTTCTTTTTTCTTTTTTTTCTTTTTGTTGGTTGTGGGGCCTGAACTCTGGGCCTGGGCTCTGTCCCTCAGCTCTTCAGCTCCAGGTGAACACTCTACCACTTGAGCCACAGTACCACTTCCAGCTTTTTCTGCTTATATCGTGCTAAGGAATCGAACTCAGGGCCCTCATGGATGCAAGGCAAACGCTCTACCACTGAGCCACCTTCCCAGCCCTTCTCATGGACTTTTCTGCCTGCGCTGGCAGTTCTCAGCCTTCTGAGTAACTAGGATTATAGGCGTGAGCCACCAGCGCCCTGCTCCCCTGAGCCTTTGTGCTCAAGGCTAGCTCTCTACCACTTGAACCACAGCTTCACTTCTGGCTTTTTGCTGTTTAATTGGAGATGAGTCCCATAGATTTTCTGCTCAGGCTGGCTTTGAACAATGATTCTCAGATCTCAGCCTCCTGAGTAGCTGATTATAGGTATGAGCCACTGGTTTCCAGCTTTGAACTGAATATTTTCATTGGGTCCATTTATTATGAGTAACTTAGTTCCCTGACTCTGATGCTTTTGCCAATGTGAGCAAAGGAGACCTTGAGAGAGACTCAGGAGTCTGTGCAATGGAAGTAGAGATGGAAAGAGCTGAGTTATAGTTCCCAGGGACTCCTTCATTGTATAACTTTCTCAACTCCTAGTGCCTAAATGGCTCCCAGCTGCTGGTCAATTTTGGCCTGAGCCCTGCTGCTCCTCTGACCCCTCGCCAGTTTGCTCTGCTGTGCCCAGCCCTGCTTTACCAGATTGACAGTCGTGTCTGTGTCAAAGCTCCAGCCCCGGCTCCTCCAGGAGATCTACTGTCTGGTCAGTGAATGAGAAGTGGGTAGGGAGCACCCTGTGTCCCCCTACCAAGGAAGAAGGTTCACTGGGGCCCAATGTCCCTTGCAATGTAACTCTTCCCCACTTTGCCTCTGGATCAATCCTGCCTGACTTTGGCTCCTGATTCTCCCCAGCCCTGCTTCATAGTTCCCTGGCAGTCCTGCTGCTCAGCCTTCCTGCTCCCCTCTCCCTGCTGCTGCTGAGGCTCCTGGGACCTCGTCTATTTCGGCCTTTGTTGGGCTTCCTGGGAGCCCTGGCTGTGGGCACTCTTTGTGGGGATGCGCTGCTACACCTACTGCCACATGTATGTGAAACCCCTGTCCTCCCTGCCCTCCCAACCCAGGGGCAAATGGTGTCCATGAATCCAAAGTGTTCCCAGCCACAGAGCAACCCTTCCCCTTTTCATCAGCTCCCAGATTCCACTCCCCTACTCCTAGTTTCAGCCCACAGCTGCCTTCCAGTAGAGTAGATGAGTACCTTCCTTGTGAGAGGGATGTGGGTGGGTGTGGGGGCTTCCAGGGACCTTTCCTCTCTGACCTCCTTCCTGACAGGCACAAGGAGGGCAGCACACAGGACCTAATGGGAGACCAGAGGAGGACCTGGGTCCAGGGCTGTCGGTGCTTGGAGGTCTTTTCCTGCTCTTTGTGTTAGAGAACGTGCTAGGGCTGTTGCGGCGTAGAGGGCTCAGACCAGTGAGTGACATCTTTTTCTCCTCCTCCTGCCAAGACCAGAATCCTAGCCAAGAACTGGCCAAGCAAGCCATGCATGAGGGGGCAGCTTGTTCTCCTGGCTCTGGGCTATCAGCTGTCCACTAACAAATGAGTACGGGTTCTTAGCATAGGCCCGGGACTTCTGGCCAAATGATCTCCTCTACCAAGTTCAAGCCAACCAAGAAACAGAGGGAGGTGCTAACCTGGAAGCGGGGAGGCCAAACAACATTCCCCAGGTGCCAGAGGTAGAAGCAGGTGTTCACTTTCCCAGCTGGTGGCCCAGCCTCCCCTTAGTCCCTGGCACTACTGCCTCCTCCACCAGGAGGGATGTCTTCCTATTTCAGAGATACTGCAGGCGCAAAAGGAATCTTGGAACACCAAATCTGGACCCCGAAGATGGCAGTGGGACGGCCCTCCGGCCCCTGCAGGCGGCTCCAGGTGACTAGAGGAGAAATAATGTGGGCTCCCAGATCACAGTGCTCACCTGCAGCTCCCAACGCTTGTCCTTGTCCTTCTCCTGCAGAACCAGAGGCTCAGGGCCAGAGGGAACACCACAGCCAGTCTCCACCAGCTCCAGCCTCTGCTGGACACCAAGGCCACAGTCATGGGCAGCAGGGTGGTGGTGGTGCCAGTATCACGTGGATGGTCCTTCTGGGTGATGGCCTGCATAACCTCACTGATGGGCTGGCCATAGGTGTGCAGGGGAGAGAACAGAGGGAGAAAATAGGAGTCCCAGAGAGGTCGGGACTTCTAGTTGTCAGCTACAACGAGGAGAGGGGGCTGCCAGGAAGGGGGGAAGATTATCACAGAGGGACAAGGGGATATAAGGAGGTGGCCCTCTGTACTGACACCGTTCAACCCTACTGACCTCAGGTGCAGCCTTCTCTGATGGCTTCTCCAGTGGCCTCAGCACCACTCTAGCTGTCTTCTGCCATGAGCTGCCCCATGAACTGGGTAGGAATGGAACATGTGGAGTGTGTGGGCTCTAGAAGGGGGAGATCTCCAAGAAGCAGAACTCAGAAGCTGGTGGTTGACACAGAGGGGAGTGGGAGGAGGGGCAGCACTGGCTTATCCCCTTTTGTCCTATCCTCTCTCCCCAACAGGCGACTTTGCAATGCTGCTACAGGCAGGGCTGTCCTTCCAGAGGCTGCTGCTGCTGAGCCTTGTGTCCGGAGCCCTGGGACTGGGAGGTGCAGCTCTGGGGGTGGGGCTCAGTTTGGGCCCTGTCCCTCTCACCCCCTGGGTGTTTGGGGTCACGGCTGGGGTCTTCCTCTATGTGGCCCTTGTGGACATGGTAAGAGGTGTAGGGTACAGGAGTGGAATCAAGGACAGTGGGAGGTGCTAGCTACAGAGAGGAGGGAAGTAGCAGTCCCTCCACCTCCCCCAGGTCTGGAGGGGACTGGCCCTTAGGCCAGTTTGTGCCTGAGAAACAAGGGGCCAAAACTAGTGCTGGGGGAGGGGCTTTGCTGATCATTCACAGATACCTTCTCTGTTTCAGGCTAAGAGGTCAGAGGCTCTGTTTCCAGGGCAGGGGAAGGTTGGAGGCCAGGCCAGAATCCTGACAGTCTTCTTTTCTTCCAGCTACCAGCCCTACTTCGTCCTCCTGAGCCCCTACCCATGCTCCATGTGCTGCTGCAGGGGCTGGGGCTGCTGCTAGGGGGCAGCCTCATGATCACCATAGCCCTGCTGGAGGAGCAGTTATTGCCCCTGGCCTCTGATGGCTGACAGGGGCCAGTGGCAAGGGATCCAGGTTGCCCTTCCTTCCCCCCAACCACAGGAATGGAGGCGGGACACAGGGCCAGTAGGAGCAATAGGATTTTAATAAACAGAACCCATCCCCAAAGCCATGACTACGACAGTTGTACTTGCACCAAAACAGCATAGAAAACCAAGGTGTGGTGGGAGGGCTCAAAGCAGGTTGGAGGAGGACATGAGTGGGGGCCTGGAGGGTGCAGGGTGCATCCATCTTCAAGGGAGAGCATTGTGCTTTAGCCCAGGGAGGAGTGGGAGGGGTGGGACAAATGCACCGAGGTCCCCACTTTTTCCTGTAGCCCTCAGCACCCTGGGGATGCAGGCATCTGGGCAGATCTGCCCTTTATTGCTGCCCACCAGCATTGAACACCCCCGACCCCAACACTAGCACCACAGGTGGATCTGGGACAAGGGAGAAGGGCAGGAATGGGAAAATTGCTTAGAGAAAGATTCAACTAGAATCCAGTGAATTGTGCTCAGTTCTCTTTACTTCCTACAACCGAGTACATGGGTCACAGGGTGGAGGGTGCAAACAGGACATGAGGCATGCCCCTCTGTGCCCCCCAACACACACCTGCATACAGGATGGTGGTGTCTGCAGCATCACAGGTCATGCAGGGCATGGGGAAGGGGAGGTTCACACACACATAGATGCCCACAGCGGGTACCAGACAGAGAACGCCCCTGAATATACACAGCTGTACATGGGGAGCCCCCCCCACACCTGGGGAGCCCCCACCCCAACCCTCTCCCCTGTCTTGCCGTTCCCCAGCGGAGGAACTGTATTGCTTTGAGAGAGCCACCCTGGGGGCTGCTCTGCCAGGCACCCTCCCCTCCCACCCACCCCCATTTTGGCACATCTGCAAGACACACGGCAGCGAGAGGAGGCACCCTCCCTCCCAGGCTTCTGTTGGCTTAGAGTTGGGGAAGGGAAATAGGAGACTTCATCCTCCATCTTTCTCCTAGCCCTTCCCAAACCTCTGCCAAACCCATTCCAGCCAGAACCCACCCCAACCCCCTACACACACACACACACACACACACACACACACACACACACACACACACACACACACACACACACACACACACACACACACACACACACACACACACACACACACACACACACACACACACACACACACACACACACACACACACACACAAAGCTGAGCTGTCCAGGAATACAAGCGGAACAAGGAGATTGTCCGGGATGGGAGCAGAGGCGGTAGGGAAAAGACTGGAAGCAGAGACCCCACCCTGGCATGGGGTAAGACTGGCACAACAGCTACTTTAGTGCAATTGGAGAGGGTGCCCAGAGCGAGGGTGGGGACGGGAGGGAAGGCTCTCCCCACCCTCCCCGGGTCATCAGGCTTGCAGACTCCCCAGGGAAAGGGCCTAACAGGAGTGAGCGAGGGCCAAGGGCGGGTCCTCTGGTCACCCGCCACCCTCTGCCCTCCCAAATGCAGTGACGGTGTCCCCCTCACGCCTACATGGGCAACAGCAGCCTCAGAGTCAGTACCTTCAAGTAATTCAAAGAGCAGACCCTCCCACCCCAGCTCCCTCCCATCTCTGGGATTTGGTCGCTTCTCTAGGGGTTGGGTCAGGAGGAGGGAGTCCCCGTGTCAGACCCTTCCCTCTGTCTCCCTCTTCCCAGACCACTGGACTTGGTCCTCAAAGATTCCTAACCTCTGCCCTTGCCCAGCCTGGGTCAAGGACTGGAGGGCTGGAGCCAGCACAGAGGGGAAAGGGCTGCTTTGCTCCGTACTCCTCCTTTGTAAAAGGTAGGGTTTGAACTCGGCGGGTAGGAAGGGGCTCACACTCTGTTGCCCCAGGAGTAGGGTTTCTGGGCTAGGGTCTGTAAGGCTATTTTCCTTTGCGGTGGGAAGGGGAGGTGGAAGATGAACACTGGGTGTGGGGAGAGGGTGAGAAATGGCTGAGAGGGAAGGGGCCTCCCCGCTGGAGCACAGTCACCGGAGTCATTTCGACAAAGAAACACTCGTGTGCATAAGATTGTGTGCCTACTCCCAGCCCTGCCAGCCTGGCCCCACCCCAGCTCATGGGACCCCTTCCAAGACCGCAGAGAAGGTTTTAGGGGTACAGTTGTAGAACCGTTCTCTGACCCCACCCTCCCCACCCCCAGCCTCTTCTCCCCTTCTAGGTCCAGGGAGTAAGAAGGTGCTCGGGTGGGCAGACAGTGGTGGAAACAGTATTGAGTTTTCCTTTGGTTACATATTGAAGGCAAAGGTGAGCTGGACTTACAGTCAAAACGGATAGGGGTGAGGAAGGAAGAGGGGCCATGGCTGGGGTTGGAGAGGGAGGCAAGCCCTCCTCAGCCCCTCCACCCCAAGGAACACATGTCTACGTGGGGTGGCAGTCCCTCAGTCTCATCTCTCCCACCCCCCACAGCACCAAACAAAAGCAGCACCTCCCCCAGGGGCCGCTCCCCACCCCAACCTGGGCTGTACATTCAGTGGTTTTCAGCAGTCCTATGGCTCAGGGGGCCACGGGGTGGGGGAGGTGGCCCATCAATCTCAGGTGGACAGTGGCAGCGGCCCATGGCTGGAGGTCCATTCTGGGACCCACAGTTGGTGCCGTTCGTTTTTCTGAAGCAGAGTACACAACCTTACCAAAGCCACCACCCGATCAGAAACATCCCCCCAAAAATCAGAAACTTAAAAACTGGCTCTCGTCATCTCGCCCTCTGCTCCGCACGTCTGTTTCCCTGTCTCCTATGTAGCCCTCGCTCTGTCTCCTTTGCTCGGCACCTGGGCTGCTCCCAGGGTCCTCACTTAAAAATAGGCCTTTTCATAAAAGTGCTTATTACTTGAAGCAAGTGCTTTAGAGCTGCGGTGGGGAGGGGAGACGGGGAGGGTGAAGGGAAGGAGGCATTTCCTCCCCACCCGACCCCCTTAAGATTGGGGGGCATTCTGCCTGTTTTACTTCTCCACACCCGTTTAAGTCAAAGAGGTTTCAAAACAAAACAAAACAAAACAAAAAAAAACTCTTAACATTAAAATAAATATGCAGTGGCCATGAGAATGGTCAAAATGCTTCAAAAAACACTAAGGGCTGGGGAGCCCGGGGTGAGGTGCGGGATTTCCTTTGGCATAAGGAGAGGAGGCTGCTGGCCCTCCAGGGCTCCTCACAGCCATGCCAGTGAGGAGGGACAGAGGACTGACTCCCTGCCGTCTTCCGGGCACTGATGACAGTGTGCCCAGGACAGCAGGGTACCGACAGCCACCAGAAATCTCATCTAGCAAAGCAAAACAATGGGGCTCCTGACATACTCATACTCTTCCTGTCATCACGAAGCATTGATAAAAGAGAACACGACTGATACCCCCGGACTCATTCCCGGAAGACCTGTCTCCCCACTCCCTGGGCCCCCGCCCCCCACCACCTAATTCCCAGCACCAAAATGAGAGGGAGGGGGTGGGAACTGGGAGGATCTAGGAAAGAGAATTGAAATTGGGGACAAGCTTTGCAGAACCAGCAGGATGGGGGTGGGGGCAGCAGCCCTTAAGAGAGGTCACATTGATTGTCGTATAGGGGAGGGCAAAGGATGAAGTGGGGGAGGGAGACGGGCAAGAGGGGGCATCCAAGGCCCTTTGGCTTTGAAAACAAAAATAAAAACTAAAAGCTGCACAATCCTTCTCACCAATAATGGTCATTTGGAAGCCTTGAAATGGTTTAGGATCTAAAGGTTGAAGAAGCAAGACACAGAGATAAGGAGGGACTGTGAAAAGGAGTAAGGACTTGGACAAATGCCCCAGGCTTCAGGGAACCAGCATGAGGTATGGTGCAGGGGATCTGGAGGGAGGGAGGGAGCCCTGGGACAGCCCCTCTCCCCTCAGCTCACCCATGGCAAGGGTGGCGAGACATTCAGGAGACACAACTGGAAAAATGGGTAAGGAAGTGAATAAAGCAAGCTCGGGTGGGGGAAAGGGACTGAGGGCTCCCACAGGGGAGTCCCTATACTGTGTAAACGAAGCCTGTCCAGTTCTTGAGGGACAATACTGATGACAGCCAAACTGGGCGAGGATGCACTGCAGGATGGAGGGGCAGGACCTCTATTCAAGTTCTGTGTCTTGGCCCCTGGCTGAGGTATTGAGTGTGAGGAAGGGACACTGGGCTACACGAGTAGGTCCAATTGGGGCAGAGGCTCACCAAGATGGTTGGACAGGGCATCTGAAGGGACCAGGGCCAGATGCAGTGCTACATTTAGAGAAAACACTGCCCCTCCTCACTCCAGCCCAGTTTGGCTTTTGGGGTACAAGTTCGAGGAATCTTATCAGTGCAGCCCCTACTCAATCCCATTTCCCCCTGTGCTGGGAGGCAGGGGACTGAGCTCCAGTGTCTGCCTGTAGCTCCCTTGACCAGAACTTTCTCCTCACACTGGAGGAAGGCCTGCTTTCCTAAAGAGCAGCCTTGGTCCCTAGTCTGCCCCTGCCCCTCCCACCGTCTTTGGCTTCAGATCAGGAGTGACTGGGGCAGTGGGTACTCTCCAACATGAAGGAAGGCAGAGGCAGACAAAGGGCATAGAGGAACCCAGGGACTTGGGGACACAAGAGGAAGAACGCGGTCCCTCCCTCCACACACATGCAAGCACATGCCTGAAACACAGAGGACATACTAGGGCTGTGGTTTTGAAATGGGCAGGAAATTAATTTGTTTCTTCCCCTAAAGAATAAAATGCGTACTTAAAAATTCATGACAAGCCTCAAAGTTCAGGGAGAAGAGAGCCGGGGAGGGAATGGCCACAGGCTCTGTTCTTCCAAAAGAAATTAAAAGAAAGAAGCAAGGTTAAAGTGCGTGGTTAGGGGCCAGGTCAGGAGGTGGGAGGTGGGGCAGGCTGTGGGGGCAGAACCAGCCCTTGATTTGCATATGAGGAGCCAGGGGAGAGTGCAGGATTGGGGCCCAGGTACAGTAGTTGCTGCTTCAAGTGTTTTGCATTTGAACTTTAGGGGTGATAGGGTAAAGAGTAGGGGGAAAGTTCCAGGCCCCAGTGCTAAATACCCTCCCCCTTCATCCTCTAGCTGCCCCTGAAGGGGGAGGGGGACACCCCAGAGTGCTCACACAGTACCAGAAATTAAGGCTTCTCACTGCTGCGGGGATGGAGGGGCCAGCCGAGCAGGGAGGCAGTGATGGGTATGGAAGAAGAGGAGGGGTCTGCCTGGCAGTAGGGGCAGGGAGAAGGGGGGGGGGCACAGAGGAGAGTCAGAAGGAAGGAGGAGGGGGAGCTGGTAGCAGAAAGGGGAACTGAGAGATGGAGTCAAAGAGAGAGGGAGCCAGGCATTTAGCAATCATTTTGGGACACTTGGCAGAAAGGGTTGCCCTGGGGTACCAAGGGCCTGGGGTGCTCCCTGTCGGTCCCAGACCCCTGCCAGGCCAGGATGGTGTGGCAAAGGGGTGAGCAGCTGCTCCCCAGTGCTTCCTTCCCCCCTCTGCCCCGCCACCCAGTCGTGTTCTCCTTTAAAGTGCCCTAAATGTGTAGACTTTTTCTAAATAAATAGAATAATATCAAGCCACCGGCAGGGAGAGGGACACTGGAGGGGGCTACTCAGAGTAGCAGCCATCTAACCCAATGGCACCGTGCCGCTCCTGGCTGTAGGGGCAGGAGGCCCCGTGGGGCAAGGCGCCACAGCCACCCACCGTCTTGGCGGCTGCGATGCCGCAGTTCTTGAGCAGGCTGAAGCTGAAAGGACTGACGGCGTCCTTGGGTGGGAAAGGCTTCATGGTGGAAAGGATCAAGGCCAGGCAGTCTGCCACATCTTTGTTGGGAGCGCAGGCCAGTGCTGGGGTGTGACCTGCAGGGCCAAGGAGAGTAACTGAGGCACGACCCCTGGGTCCAGGGTTCCCATCCACCCTCCCCAGGCCCTGAGCTCTCAGTTGTAGAGGGGAGCCAAGGCAGGAAAACACCCAGCATGGTCAGAAATCTGGGGCGGTAAAGGCCCAGGGAGACTGACAGGCAGGTTCTAAGTACATGGGGCCAGCAGCCAGGGGGATGGATGGGAGGCCTTCCTGACCATGCTGACTCTCCACCCAGTTCCATCAGACTCCCCTGTGAGACTCAGAGTACTGGTGTTGGGTCCCTACTCTCAAGAGTTCCCCTGGGAAGAAAATCTCATTTATAGCAAGGTTAAGAAGTCACCTCCTGTAGAATGTCCCTGACCCCAAACCTGGGAGAGGCGGGGGGCTCCGGACCCCACCCACCTTCTTCATCCACAGCCAGCACTGTGGCCCCACGACTCAGGAGGGCCTGCACCACAGAAGCTAGACCATTCCGGGCAGCAATGTGGAGTGGCCTTGGAAGAAAGAAAGTAAAGAGAGAAACACAAAGTCAACCGGGTGCCAAGAAGTCCTGCCACCCCCCGGCAGGTGGTGAGAATGCCGAATAAATACTGTGAGCTCCAGAGAGCCTAAGAGTGTGGACCGTTTTCTTCACCCACCTGCCTCCCCCAGCCAGGAGCCCCCTTCCCTGGGCACTCACATCTGCAGCGCACTGTTGGTGGCATTGATAAGGCCAAGGTCTTGGGTTTCTGCCAGGATCATGAGGGCACATTTTTCATGGCCCTGAGGGAGAGGAACAGAGAGTGGAAATTTGTGAAGTAGAATCAAGACAGGCCACAGGGCAGGACTGGGGAAGATGGCAGACAGAGAGGAGCTGTGCTACCATCACACAGGCTGGGCAACCTTGTCGCTGGTGCAGTCTATTCTGTAATCGGGATTTGTCCTGCCCATCAGGCTTTCATGCTGCCCCCTAATCTGGGAAGTACCTTGCTACAAGCCAAATGGAGGGCAGTGTTCTTGTTCTCATCCAGCACAGTCAGGTCTGCCTTCCCTCGATACAGCAGAAATTCTACAAGAGAAATGGGACAAAAGGATGAACACTTTTCTCCTGAGCAACAGCTATCCTAGCTGCCCACGCTTCTATCTTCAAACCCTCAAGAGATACCAAAGACACCTGTATCCTGAACTCCAACCCTTGCTAGCCTTGCAGGCAGGGCTGACCCACCCTGCCAAACACCCTGGGGACTCCTCCCTGCCACAGCGGAGCCCCTACACACCCACAGCAGCGGTCTGCCCGTTCTCAGCCGCCGTCATGAGTGCAGTGCGGCCAGTGTGGTCAGTGGCGTTCACCTCAGCTTGATGCTGCAGCAGCATCCGGAGCCCAGAGACATTATCCGCGAAGGCAGCGGCGTGAAGGGGGGTCCTGAGGGGTCAGGGTAGGGTGAGTTAGGGAAGGCTCTTCCACATGGACAGGAACCAAAGCCAGAGGCAGCTCAGGCTGCTCCTTGAGCACTCCGTTACTCACCGTCCTTTGGCGTCTCGGCTGTTCACAATCTTGTCACCCAGAGCTCCCAGCAACATCTCTGTGGTGCTGTCCTGGTTATTAATTCTGGGGAGAGGGAGGACTCATCAGGAAGGACAAAGGAAATACATTCCCAACCAGAACGTCAGCCATGGTGCTCTGAGAAGGCCGATGCAGAGGAAGAGACTTACACTGCACAGTGCAAAGGAGTGAAGGGGTTTCCCTCCAGGTATGAGAATGGGCTGTGTTCAAGTAACAACTCCAGACAATCTTCATGTCCTGGGTATGAGGAGGAAAGTTTGGTGATGGAGAGAAAAGGCACAGTTCTCCATCTGTCCTGTCCTATCTTAGATGCTCCACTGTGCTTCCAGATGCTCTGCTACAACCCACCTTTCTCCTCAATGCCCCACACCCCTCCCTGCACCTGCCAAAGCCCCACTCATACCAGTGTAGGAGGCCCAGTGCATGGGTGAATATCCGCTGTAATCCACCCCAGCATCCAAGGGGTCTGTGGAAAGGGCAGCCTGCAGCAGGGTCCGCAGGACTGCAGTGTGGCCACAGGCTGAGGCCAGGTGAATGGGCGTGCGACCCTTAAAGTCTCGGCACAACACAAATGCATCATGGTCCAGCAGGGCAGCCAGGCAGTCCTCACAGCCAGTCACTGCCTGCAGGAGACATTCAGGGGGAGGGGTGAGGAGCCACCACTCTTCCACTGGACAGTTGCTGGGGGAAGGAGAGGGGAGGGAGACCTAGGAGCAAGAACCACTTCCAGGGCTCTAATCATTTTCTCTACAAATTCTAGTGTTAGAAATGAGCAGATTGCCAGGTGTTGGTGGCTCACACCTGTAATCCTAGCTACTCAGGAGGCAGAGATCAAGGTTTGTGGACCAAGGTTTGAAGCCAGCCAGAGCAGAAAATCTGACAGATTCTTATTTCTAATGAACCAGCAAAATGCTGGAACTGGAGGTGTAGGCTCAAGTGGTAGAGTGTCAACTGTGAGCACAAAAGCTAAGCAAGAGTGTGTGAAGCCCTGAATTCAAGCCCCAGCACAAAAAGTACCAGCATACACACTCACACTCACACACACACACACACACACAGAGGGGAGAAGAGAAAGCGGAGGCGGGGTGGGGGGGAGGGAGAGAGAGAGGAAGAGAGGGAGAGGGAGAGAGAGGGAGAGAGAGAGAGAGAGAGAGAGAGAGAATCTGTGTGTGTGTGAGCAAGCAAGCGGTTCTTCTCTAACTCTCTCTGCCAACAGTCAGGCTGGTCAGAGTAAATCCGAGAGCTCTTGGAGTGAAAGACCAAATAGTGAGACTGAGAGATCAAAGAACCTTGTAGGAAAGTTGGGCAGGCCTGCAGTTCCAGCTACTTGAAAGTCTGAGGCAGAAGAATCTCTTGATTAGGGCCAGCCTAAGCAACATAGTGAAACATTTGTCTCAAAAAATCAAAAAGAGTTGGCCAGGTGCCAGTAGCTCACGCCTGTAATCCTAGCTACTGAGGAGGCTGAGATCTGAGGATCACAGTTCAAAGCCAGCCCAGGCAGGAAAGTCCGTGAGACTTTTATCTCCAATAAAAACCACTAGAAAACCGGGAGTGGTGCTGTGGCTCAAGTGGTAGAGCACTAGCCTTGAGCTGAAGAGCTGAGGGAGAGTGCCCAGGCCCAGAGTTCAAGCCCCACCACCAACCAAAAAAAAAAATAAATAAAAAAATAAAAATAAAAAAGAGCCAGGCGCTGGTAGCACACATCTGTAATCCTACCCACTCAGAGAGGCTGAGATCTGAGGACTGCAGTTTGAAGCCAGCCTAGGCAACAAAGTCTGTGAGATTCTTTTGTTTTTTTTTTTTGCCAGTCCTGGGGCTTGAGCTGTCTCTGAGCTTCTTTTGCTCAAGGCTAGCACTCTACTACTTGAGCCTCAGCACCACTCAGCCTTCATGCATGCTAGGCAAGCACTCTGCCACTAAGACACATTCCCAGCCCTCTGGTAAGATTCTTATCTCCAATTAACCACCAAAAAGCCAGAAGTGAAGCTATGGCTCAAGTGGTAGAATGCCAACCTTGAGTGAAAGAGCTAAGGAACAGTGCTCAGGCCCTGAGTTTAAGCTCTGGTACTCCCACAAAAAAGTGAAAAGAGCCATGTACTGGTGGTGGCTTCTCACTTATAATAAAGATACTCTGGGGTGAGATTTGAGAATCAGTTTGAAGCCAGCCCAAGCAAACAAATCCTCAAGATTCTTATCCCAATTAACCAGTGAAAAGCTGGAAGTAGAGGTGTGGCTCAAGTGGTAGAGTTTTGAGTGAAAAAGCCGAGCAAGAGCACAAGGCTAGTAGATCAGGCTCCAGTACCAGCACAAAAGAAAAGAGAAAAGGAAAGAAAAAAAAAAAAAAGAAGAAGAGAAAAATCTTGTGGGAGAAGAGGAGGAGGCAGCTTTAGGACAGGTGAGCATGGAGACAGATCTGGGTGGTGGCATCACTGTCTGATGGGACAGGGCCAGCAGGGTATCTTGGGCAGTCTAGGTGAGCATGTGACTGCATGTGATGACAAAGCAGGGCCCTTAGGGAAATTAGCTGGAAATGTCAGGTACTCATCCTCAAGCAAGCAAGCATGGTAAGGCCCAGTTAAGACCTGGGTACAAAATCTTGTCCTGTTGATGGAGTGTCCTAGGAACAATCTATACTAGGGACCCACTCACCCCACGGTGGAGGGCGGTGCGGCCCCGAAGGTCAGCAGCATCAGCTGTGGATCCTTTCTCTAGCAGCAGATGTACACAGTCCACGTGGCCATTCATGATGGCCAGCATCAGTGGGGTTCTACAGAAGAGGCAAGGGAAAGGGTGAGGATCCAACAGAGCTGAAAAAAAAGTGCACCCCACCTCTGGCCCACACTCACTGTCCATAGGCATCCATGACATCTGTGATGTCGGCTCGTTCCCCACTATCGATCAGCAAATGCAGGGAATCAGTGTGGCCAGAGGCCGCTGGGAGAAAAAGGGGGCTGTGTCAGGACAGTGTCAGGAAAGGAGGGAGGGAGGGAAACAGACTGATCCTGAACAACTCAGTTACAATTATGGGAAGGCCTGTGGCAGGGAGTGTTCTTCAAGGTAGTAAGCTACTAGTGAAAAAGTCTCCATGTTCCTTCTCTACCCCACCTTCAGCCTTAACTATTAAGGAGAGATGTGTTATGGTAAGGGGAGGGCGGTAGCCTGAAGTGGGCACTAACCAGCAGCGTGTAGGGGTGTCCACTTGCGCTTGCGCTCCTTGATGAGGGCAGAGGCGCCATGGGCCGTAAGCACCTCCACACACTCAGTAGAGCCTCGCTCAGTGGCCAGGAAGAGCGCGGTCCGGCCCTTGTGGTCCCTTACATCCAGATTCACCAGCGTCTCAGCCAGTGTCTTCAGGGCTTCACAGTGACCGTTGTAGGCCTAGAGTAGTGCAGGTAACCAGTGGATACAGCTGGGGACATCTCATCCCCACTCTGATTGCTGGGAGTGGGGGTGGGGCCCACAGGGAGTCACTAGACATCTGCAAGATCCTTGGGCCCCTCTGGTATCTTTCCTGCTCTGTGCCTATCCCCTCTCCAAACCACTGCCTGCTTGTCACTGCCTTCTTCCCAAAAGAAAGCAAAAGCAAAGACAAGCGTCACAAGTGCTAGCACCCTTGTTTGGGCCCAGGGGCGGGTAGTTTCAAGGAAGATGAGAAGAAAAGACATGGAACTCACAGCTAAGTGCAAAGGGCTGACTGGAATGGTGCTCTCCACATCCTCCAGGCAGTTAAAGGACATTTCTAAGAGCTGCAATGGACAGGAAAGTAGGTGCTTATGTTCTGCAACTTCCATATCTCCCCATGCCCAGCTCATAGTAATCTCCTACTGCTGGACCAAAGGACCAGGTACCTGATCCAAACACCCTGAGTTTAAGAACCACAAATCCAAAGGCAGATTGTTGCCTTCTGCCCTGCCCCCACCCTCCCAAACCAGATCTCAATACATACCAGTTCAAGGTTCTGTCTGTTGCCATAAGCGGCTGCATAGTGCACAGCTGTGTAGCCCTGCCTGTCCCGCAGGGAGGGATCTGCACCATTATCCAGTAAGAACTCCAGACAGCTGGGAAACCAGGGGTGGACAGTGAGGTACCGACAGGCGAGAACCACAAGGGTGCCTCCCTCTAGGAGGGCCAGAGGGAGAAGCAGGGGGCCCCCAAGGACTCCAAACCCATTCCTTTCATGAAGTCTGCCCTGGGTCACCAGCTCAACACCCTCTATATCCTTGACCCTCTCCTGGAGAGCCTGGGCTTGTGATTCAGCTGCTAGATTTCTGCTGGTTCACCTATCACCCTTTCTTCTCTAGAAGGCCTGCTCCTTTCAGTCTATGTGAGATCTAAGTCATCACAAATCTAGATGTTCCTCTTCTCTGTGGGGCCTTTCCTAACCTTCCCAGTTAGGTGCTTTCTCTGTACCGCCTGACACCCTTCTCATCTCTTACTCATCCTAATACTAATAATGGTAAGATACTAAGCACTTCCTACATATTAAATACCTTGGCTATCATAATGATCCTCAGAACTAGGATCGATTTTTTTTTGGGGGGTCCAGTCATGGGGCTTGAACTCTGGGCCTGGGCGCTGTCCCTCAGCTCTTCAGCTCAAGGCTAGCACTCTACCACTTGAGCCACAGCGCCACTTCGGGCTTTGGCTTTTTTCTTTTTGCTTATGTGGTGCTGAGGAATTGAACCCCGGGCCTCATGCTAGATACGATTTTTGTCCTACTATGATTGAGGTAAGTGGGCACAGAAAAGTTTTAAGTAATTTGTCAAAGGTCACATAGCAAAGCCTCCTAGATCTTAGTACTTTATTTAAGTGTTTTAAATAACCTTTTTATTTTAGAATAGTCTTAAATTGACAGAAAAACTGTGAAAATAGTATAGAGTTCCCATACACCTCATACTCAGTTTTCCCATTAGCCACTTAAATTAATAAGTACAAGGATCTCTTCTTTTCCCAATAGCTGATTTTTTTTTCTTTTCTTTTTTTTGCTTTTTGGTTAGTCTTGAGGCTTGAACTCAGGGCCTACACACTGTCCCTAAGATTTTTTTCCCTCAAAGATAGTGCTCTATCACTTTGAGCCACAGCTTCATATCCGTTTTTTTAGGTAGCTAATTGCAGATAAAAAGTTTCACAGACTTTCCTGCCCAAGCTGGCTTTGAACTGCAGTTCTCAGATCTCAGCCTCTCTGAGTAGCTAGGATTACAAGCGCGAACCACTAATGCCTAGCTTGCTGATTAGTTTTTCAGTCCTGGAGTAATTCATCTTTATGCTTACTACTAGCTGGGAATGTGGCAGGGAATGTGACTGCCTAGCCTGGGCAAGAATCTAGGCTTCAGCTGGGAATGTGGCTTAGTGGTAGAGTGCTTGCCTAGCATGCATGAAGCCCTGGGTTTGATTCCTCAATACCACATAAACAGAAAGCCAGAAGTGGTGCCATGGCTAAAGTGGTAGAGTACTAGCCTTGAGCAAAAGAAGCTCAGGGACAGTGCCTAGGCCCTGAGTTCAAGCCCCCAGGACTGGGGGGAAAAAAAAAGAATGGAGGCTTCACTCCCAGTACTCCCAGTACTCCCAACCCAATTTGCTTAGCCAGTACACCAACCAACCAACCCAATTTGCTTAGCCTTAGTAGCTCGTACACTATGGGGACAGCACATCCCAGAAGCTTCTCTTATACTCACAAGAAAGCCTCCTTCCTACGGGACTCCTTCAGTGGCTCGTCCTCTTCAGCATCATGGCTGGAAGCAGTGTGGGGTTCCGCTCTAGGAAGAGCGTGAAGATGTCAGGATGGCTCAGGGAGGTATATGGGGATTGAGAAGGAACAGAAAGGAAGTCTCACCTCCGGTACGTGTCAGAGGCCGCAGCATAGTGGAGGGGAGAGCAGCCTTTACAGTCAGCCTCATTGACACCTGCCCCAGCAGTCACCAGTGTCACAGCACACTGGTAGCTACCGTTGGCAGCTGCATAGTGCAGTGGAGTCCTGGGGAAAAGTGAAAGTGGTCAGAAGAATCAGAGAAAGAGCCAAATGCAATCACAGGTGCAGTCAACAGCTACTATATAATGCTTTCCTCACTTAAGTCTCCTGCTCCCATTTGACCCTCTAACCAGACACTTCCCATGAGCACTCCTACACAATGATTTACCTTCCAAATTTGTCTCTCCTTCTCAGGTCAGCTCCACTGCTCAACAGCAAATTAAGACATTCAACATTTCTAAAAGGAAGATGAGAGAGAAGGGTGAGGGAGCTTCAAGGAGCCACTGCAGTCCTAGAGAGGGTCTGAAAGAATGGAACTGTATTGCCTTCTCTGCTGGGACTGCTCTCATTGTGTAGAGGAAGAGCTCGGTAGTGAGGGCTCAGGCCCTTGCGCAGTGCTCTTCTCAAGGTATGGGAAAGAAAACATACCCTCCGGAAGCAGCAGCATGAAGACAGGTGCGGCCAAGGTTGTCAGGGGTGTTGATGTCAAATCCAGCAGAAAGCACGTGCTCATTGCTGAGTGAAGACACGATGCTGTACAACTGACCTAGAGGGGCACAGCCACAGGTTGTTCCAAGAGCCCTGAGACCACTGCACATGGGTGAAGCCCTCTGTTCCCTCAACACCTGCTTGACCCTGACCAGTCAGCACATACCTGAGGAAAGAAGCTTCCGGCAACAGTCAGAGAATCCAAAGAGAACAGCTAAGTGCAGGGGAAACATGTCATGGATGCCGCGCCTGGGAAGAAGTTGAGGGACTCAGGGTCAAAAATTTACAGAGTCCTTTTCTGTGGCCTACTACCACCCAAGGAGTCAGTAGGAGATTCTCCAAGCTTCCCTCTTTTTTTCTTTTTTGTTTTGTTTTGTTTTTTTTGGGGTCCAGTCGTGGGGCCTGAACTCTGGGCATGGGCACTGTCCCTCAGCTCTTCAGCTCAAGGCTAGCGCTCTACCACTTGAGCCACAGCACCACTCCTGGCTTTTTTCTTTTTTGCTTATGTTGTGCTGAGGAGTTGAACCCAGGGCCTCAGGCATGCAACGCAAGTGCTCTACCACTGAACCACCTTCCCAGCCCCCCTCTTTTTTTCTTTTGACACTCCTGGGACTTGAACTCAGGGCCTGGGCACTGTCCCTGAGCTTCTTTTTGCTCAAGGCTAGCACTCCACAACTTGAGCCACAGTGCCACTTCCAGCCTTTTCTGTTTATGTGGTGCTGAGGAATTAAACCCAGGGCTTCATGCATGCTAGGCAAGCGCTCTACAACTAAGCCACATTCCCAGTCCCTCCAAGCTTCCCTTTGGCAAGCATCTCTGTGACTACATTGGATCTGAGTAGTATATACAAACTGAACATGGCCTCCAAGTGGGATGAGAGGGACTCACCGGGCGGTGTCTGCGCCATTGGTCATGAGTGTGCTGATGAGGAGCTCGTGCCCATAGCGAGCAGCCACATGCAGGGGCGTGTTCCCAAATTTGTCCGCACAGTCAATCTCGCTACCTGAGATGGACATGCACACATTAAGACCATTCACACCAGCTAGTTACCACTTGAGTACTTATTAAATTTGGTCAAGTTAAGCATGTCTACATGTGTTATTTTGTTTATAAACTGTAAGAGACTAGGCAGGACAGCGCTGCAAGTGCCTATCTTGACTGGAAAGCTGGGACAGGAGGTAGAAGGAAAGATGAGGAGATGAGGCATAACGTCTGTTGAGTTCATACCATTCTGGATGAGGATCTGGGAGCGTGTGAAACGGCCATGGATGGCAGCCATGTGCAGAGGGCTTTTCCCTTCTTTGCTCTGTGGAAACATGGCAAGGTTAATTTAGTGCAAAACACAGAGAAATGACCTGTTTCCCCTTTCAAAGGACACCTCTTCTCTGAGGATAGAAAGATCATATGAACATCTTCTCAGTACTCATTCTTTAAATCCATGGTAAAATCTGAACACCCCAGGAATCACGTGAACAACTCCCCAGGAGAGCTATCTGGATATGGCCAGCAGCTACAGAGACAGGTCCCTCTCCTTACTGGTCCATGCCTTATCCCTTCAAGCACCTGGTAGTTGACATCAGCCCCATTGTTGACCAATAACTCTAAGCAGAGAGCGCCATTGGTGGAAACTGCAGCCACATGTAATGGTGTAAAGCCCTTGTCATTTGGCTGATTGACATTGGCTCCGGCATTCACCAGCTCTATAGCCACAGCATCCTGGCCCAGGTAGCAGGCGATGTGCAAAGCTGTGTTTCCAAAAGCATTGGGCTCATCGATCTGTAGTATCAGGAATGAAGGTAAGAATATATCAGGTTAAAAAAAAAATCAGACAGCCTCAGCCCCTTCAGTTTTCTGACCCAAAATAATGAGGGCACAATTATATAACATAAGCCTTATTCAAACCCTCTCAACCCAGTCTTCCAGCCTCCCAAGTCTATAACAGACTCTGCACCTCCAACTCCCACCCTGAACCCCCAGACCCAGCACTTAACACCCTGACCTCAGCCCCCATCCGGAGCAGGTACTTCACCACTTCAATCTGGCCACTGGCCGCAGCTGTGTGGAGCAGCCCATAGCCCTTTCGGTCCTTACAGCCAAGGTCTGCTCCACGTGCCACCAGCAATTTCAGGACTTCCAAATGTCCTAGGAAAAGAAGACAGTCTTAAAGAGTTGAGGATGAACATAAAGACCCTCAGCTCCTCCCTCCAAAGGCTGTAAGCAACCCTATCGCCTTGCATTGGGAATCCTGAAGGTCAAATTCCTCCTTTTTTTGTATATTTTCTCTCACCCAGAAAAGCGGCCCAGTGCAGAGGCTGCCGTTCCTTTTTGTCACAGACATTGAGGCTGGCTCCCTTGTTGAGAAGTAGGTTCACTGTCTGTATTGGACATAAAAGACACAGAGCCATGTTCATACCCTCAACCTACTTCAGGGCAGAGGCCTCTCATCTCCTCAAAGGTAAAGGCAGCCTAATACGTTTTGCTTCCCAATTCTGCTATTCACAAGCAGAACAATCTGGCAGACTAGAGGGAACAGAGGAGCAGGCACTAAGAGAAGATAACAAATAGATCTGGAAGCTTAAAGAAAATGCATGGGGAGCTGGGCGCTGGTGGCTCACGCCTGTAATCCTAGCTACTCAGGAGGCTGAGATCTGAGAATCACCGTTCAAAGCCAGCCCGGGTAGGAAAGACCGTGAGACTCCTATCTCCAATAAACCACCAGAAAAAAATAAATAAAATAAAAATAAATAAAACCGGAAATGGCACTGTAGCTCAAGTGGTAGAGCGCTCGCCTTGAGCTGAAGAGCTGAGGGACAGCGCCCAGGCCCAGAGTTCAAGCCCCACGACCGACAAAAAAAAAAAAAAAAGAATACGAGCTCTCTCTTTGGAAAAAGGCATGCATATAAACATTTCCAGGTGAGGGGCTGAGAAGGTAGCTCAGTGGTAGAGGGCTTGCCTTGCATGCCAGAGGCCCTGGGTTCGATTCCTCAGCACCACATAAGCAAAAAAGAAAAAAAGCCAGAAGTGGCGCTGTGGCTCAAGTGGTAGAGCGCTAGCCTTGAGCTGAAGAGCTGAGGGACAACGCCCAGGCCCAGAGTTCAGGCCCCACAACCGGACCCAAAAAACAAAAAAACAAAAACAAACATTTCCAGGTGACTTCAAAGGGTTTATTAATCTCCTGAAGCCTAAGTCAAGAATTTTATTTTTTTTGTCTTTTTTGCTGGTGTGGGGCTTGAACTCTGGGCCCAGGCACTGTCCCTCAGCTCTTCAGCTCAAGGCTAGCACTCTACCACTTGAGCTACACTTGGAGATAAGAGTCTCACAAACTTTCCTGCCCCGCCTGGCTTTGAATTGCATTCCTCAGAACTCAGCTTCCTGAGTAGCTGATTACAGGCATAAGCCACCAGCGCCCGGCTAAGAATTTCTTTTTCTTTTTTTCTTTCTGGTGCTTGAACTCAGGGCCTAGGTGCTGTCCCTTCATTTTTTCACTTAAGGCAAGTGCTCTGTCACTTAAGCCACAGATCTACTTCTGGCTTTTTGGTGGTTAATTGGAGATAAACTTGCCTACCTGTGGGCTGGGAAGGTGGCTCAGTGGTAGAGCGCTTGCCTTACATGCATGAGGCCCTGGGTTCAACTCCTCAGCACCACATAAGCAAAAAGAAAAAAGTGGAAGTGGCGCTGTGGCTCAAGTGGTAGAGTGCTAGCCTTGAACTGAAGAGCTGAGGGACAGCGCCCAGGCCCAGAGTTCAGACCCCACGACCGGACCCAAAAAAAAACATTCATCAGTACATACAAGAAAGAAAAAGTAGGGGCTGGGAAGGTGGCTCAGTGGTAGAGTGCTTGTTTGCATGCATGAGGCCCTGGGTTCAGCTCCTCAGCACCACATAAGCAGAAAATGCTGGAAGTGGTGCTGTGGCTCCAGTGGCAGAGCGCTAGCCTTGAGCTGAAGAGTTGAGGGACAGTGCCCAGGCCCAGAGTTCATTACCCACGACAAAGAAAGAAAGAGAGGTGGTCTGGGATGATAGCTCAGTGGTAAAGCACTTGCCTGGCATGCCAGAGGCCCTAGGTTCGATTCCTCAGCACCACATAAGAAAAAAGCCGGAAGTGGTGCTGTGGCTCAAGTGGTAGAACGCTAGCCTTGAGCTGAAGAGCTGAGAGACAGCGCCCAGGCCCAGAGTTCAGGCCCCACGACCGGACCCCCCAAAAAAAAGAAAGAGGGCTGGGAAGGTGGCTCAGTGGTAAAGCGCTTGCCTTGCATGCATGAGGCCCTGGGTTTGATTCCTCAGCACCACATATGCAAAAAGAAAAAAGCAGGAAGTGGCTCAAGGGTTCCAAGCCAGAAGTGGTGCTGTGGCTCAAGTGGTAGAGCGCTAGCCTTGAGCTGAAGAACTGAGGGACAGCGCCCAGGCCCAGAGTTCAGGCCCCACAACCGGACCCAAAAAAAAACCCAAAAAACAAAAAAACTTACATATCTGAGCTGGCTTTGAACCATGATTCTCAAGTCAAGAATTTCAAAATAAGGGCTAAAGGTATAGCTCAATGGTAGAGCATTTGTCTAGCATATATTTCAACCCCGGGTTCAATCCTCATAACCAAAACAAACAAAAAAATTTTTTTCTGGGCACTGGTGGCTCACACCTGTAATCCTAGCTACTCAGGAGGCTGAGATCTGAGGATTGTGGTTCAAAGCCAGCCTGGGCCAGAAAGTCCAGTGAGGCTCTTATCTCCAATAAACCACCATAAATCCAGAAGTGGCCCAGTGGTTCAAGTGGTAGAGCGCTAGCCTTGAGCTGAAGAGCTAAAGAGCTGAGGAACAGTTCGTAGGCCCAGAGATCAAGCCAAAAAAAAAAAAAAAAATCATTCTGGTTTGGGTCCAAGTATTTAGTTATCAGAGCTGCTTCTGCCCTAGACCTAATGACCCAGAAGCAGAAAAAAGTGAACAGGAAGGCAAGAACAAGGAAGTCTGGGCCTAGGCTGCAGTGGTCCTCACCTCAAGATGTCCACTGTGCACTGCATGGTGCAGTGCACTGCGCCCACTCCTGTCGGCCACATTGAGGCTGCTCAACAAGGGTGCCAGAGCCTCAGCACACTTGGTAGCCCGGTTGGCAGCAGCCACATGCAGTGGTGTTTGCCACAGCTTGTCCCGGGCATTCACATCAGCTGAATGAGCCAGCAGCAGCCCCAGCACCTTCTGTGGATGGGCAGGGACAAGAGAGAAGACAGAGGAGAAACAGGAGGTAAAACAAGAAGAGGCAGGAGGTGGAATGGGTCATAATGTCAAATATGGCCCCAACCTCCTGGTACAATCTCTACATTTTCCTAACATACCTAGCCTTTCCATACCTACTTCTCATCTTCTGGATCACCTTAGACCTTAAAACCTTTATTTTCTTGAGGAAAACAGACACCTCTTCCTCTTCCTCAAGCCAACAGGTATCACTCTCTAACCCTTAAAATATCTATACTCACAAATACATCCACCCCAAGTAGATCCACAAATCCCAATCCTACTTTCAAGAAAAAAGAAATATTCTTGCTAAATTAACAGCCCAAGTTATCTTCCTTAGCCTGCCCACAGGCACCAAAACCATTTCCATTACCCCCATAAGCAAATACATACAAGTTCCTCTCCAAAACTCAGACTAAAATGTCCTTCCTAACCATTCCTCTCTACCCCGCCCCTGCCCGCCCCCTGGTAGCTGGAGTCAAAGAAGTGATCGACTGGAAGAGGAAGTCACATCTTCCCTCTCTGTGGTTGATGACACTAGGATACAAGACCCCACTGATGAGATATGTTCAGCTCTCGTGCAGTCAATATTCATGGTGCATGATAGGTCAGGATGCAACAGATCGCTACTCCTATTCCTCATCATAAGGAAAGAAATCTCAGAGCCCAGAGGGGTATCAGACTCAAGGTGGCCCCCCAGGGAGGGATGAGTCACTCAGGCCTGGCAGCAGAGCCCCCGCAGTCTGCCAGCCCAGTGTTAAGCTCTCCCTGACGTCACATCAGCTGGCAGCATTCAGCCCCCCATACCAGCCAGTTCTAGGGATAGGAGGGAGGAGCCTAGGTCTGGTCTCCACCCTATCTGGAGTAGAATAGTCTGTAGGGCAGAGAACCGAGTTTTTCTAACCCCTAAGTCCCACTTTCATCAACTCCTCCTTTATGGAAGGGTGAAAGGAAGTGGAAGGTTCATACCTCATTTCGAGAGGCAGCAGCACGATGAAGAGGGGTCAGCCACAGTGTGTCCTTAGCATTTACATTAGCACCTGTGGGGATATACAATCCTATTTTGATGGGAGGTGAAGAGGAGGAAGGAAGGAAACTAGTAATCAGGTAGGACCTGAATGTGCATGGAGTAGAACCCCTTTGCCTGGTCCAAACACCAGAATTTCCTTGGAAATGAACAAGGAGCGTTCTCCTCTCTGCTCCTCTCTAGGTGCCACACCTTCCTGATCCCCACTTTCACCTGACATCAGTAGCAACTGGAGGATGGGGACATCGCCTACGTAGGCAGCAGCATGCAATGGGGTTCGTCTCTCTTGGTCCTGGAAATACAGAAGAAAGGGGAGCGGTTGTGGGGAGAAATTATCCCGAGTCTCAGCTCAAGTCTGAGAGCTCCTGGTTCTGCCTCACAATCTTTTCCCATAGATTCTGCAGCGTCCTAAATCCCAGTGTTGAGAAGGAAAGACCAGCACCTTAGAGGGTGGAGTCGGGGCCACCGGCCACCTTCTCCTTCTTCCAGGAGGGGTGGGGGCGCTGCAGACCCCGATGGTTCGGTAGAGAACACTGTTTCTGAGCATCCCCAGCCCCGCCACTCAGTGCTCCAAGCCTGACCAGCGCCAAACGCTGAGCAGGCTCCCACCGAGGTAAGAAGAGCAGAGTCTCCCGTGCCATCGGAGCACGGGAGACCCGGAGCCGCCCCACTGGTGGGGAGGGGTCCCGAATCCCGGAGCCCGGATTCTGGGCTCGCCATCCTCCTCCCAGCTCCCAACTCACCAGCACATTGATGTTCTCCTTCTGCGAGAGGAGGGAACGCACTTCCTCCACATCTCGGCTAAAGATGGCCTGGACCAGGGGCGGCTGCAGGGAGAACCGGCATTCAGCGAGCGGGCCGGAGCCACAGCCGCACCAGGGGTGGGGGGTGGGGGAAGCACCCAGGTTAAAGGGGGGCGTCGCTGGAGGGGCTCCGCTTTGGGGGTTCCAGGCTGCAGCGGATTCCCGCGGCGCCTCCGCCGGACGCCAGGCGCTCCCCCCTCCCCGCTCCCCGCCACCAAGGACAACCCGATCCGCTGAGGGGAGCGCGGCGTGGGGCGGGGCGGGAGCCCCGGGCTCGGGCCCAACCTAGGCCTCACATCCCCGAGCTCGCGTGGCGGTGGCGCCGGGCCGTGGAAAGAGGAAGCCGGGAAGGGCAGGAGGGCTGACCTGGTCCGTGATGCTGAGGATCCCCATGGCCCGGCCCAGGCTCCGTCCGCATCGAGCTCGCGGCGGCGGCGGCGGCGGCTCCACCGGGGACACGGGGCGGCCCAGGCGGCGGCTGCGGCGGCGGCTGCGGGGAGAGCGCGGCCCCGCCTACCGGGGGGCGGGCGAGCGGGAGCCCGCAGCGCTCCCTGGCGGCGGTCCCCAGCCCGGCCGCGGGGCCCTGTGCGCACCGCCGGGCCAGGCCGCAGCGCCCTCTGCCCCGCCCGTGCAGCGCGAGCGGTCCTGGCCACCCCAAGCTCCCGCGCTGGCTCCTCGGCTCCCCCAGCCGGCTGCGCGGCGCTCTCGGCTCTAGCCCGGCGGCTCGCAGGGTCCTCCGCAGCACCATAGCGGAAACTCAGGCCTTGCTCCCGCCGTGCCCCCCAGTCCTCAGGGCCGAACCGCCGGCCGGCCAGATCTCACCCAGCCCACAATGCTATCTCCAGGCTAACTCCTCCCGACAGCCTTCCACACCCTCCTACGCCCCCCACAGATTAGGAGAAACTAGGGGTGGGCGTGATGTGGAGTTCGTGCATGGCAGTAGCCCCAGAGGAGGACAGCGTGGGATCTTCACTGGGGACGACTTTAGTTGGGTAGAAAGGAAATGGCAAAAGTGGTCCAAACTGCAGAGAGAGAGCCTAAGGATTCTGCTTTAGGAAACCCCCACAAAGAGGTCAGGACAGGTGGTAGCTGGAACAGGTCTCCAAGAAGGTCAACGAAAGGGACACTTCAACCCCCTAAATTACTCCATTGCCAGATTAAGGTGGTTAGGTGACAACACTTAAAAAGATTTAACAGAGCCTGTAATCCTAGTTACTCTGGAGGCTAAGATCTGAGGATCCAGGTTCAAAGCCAGGGGCGTGATAGTCTGTGAGACTCTTATCTACAATTAACTACCAAAAAAAAAAAAAAAAGTCCGAAGTGGAGCTGTGGCTCAAGTGATAGAACACACTAACCTTGAGCCCAAAAGACCAGGAACAGCGCCCAGGTCCTGAGTTCAAGCCTGAGACCAGCATGCACACACACACACACACACACACACACACACACACACACACACACACACACACACACACACACACACACACACACACACACACAGAGAACTTCCTAAACAACAACAGTCCCCTTCCCCCATAAAAGAGGGAGGAGGGGAGGGTGCATCTCCTCTCTTACTGGAGAGGTCAGATAGCAGTCAATCAGGAAACAACTGACTAGAGGACATCCCAACCCAGAAGGGGGAAAGCAGAAATCTGTAGATTGAATTCCTAAAAAGGATTCAGTGGTAATCCTACCTGAGGATCACAGTTCGAAGCCAGCCCAGTAAGCAAAACCCATGAGACTCATCTTCAACTAACTATCAGAGAATTGGAAGTGGTGCTGTGGCTCAAGTGATAGAGCATTAGCCTTGAGCACCAAGAGGTACAGGGACAGAGCCCAGACCCTGAGTTCAAGCCTCACAACTGACAGAAAACAGAAAAACAAAAAAATGTTTCAAAGGCTGGAATCATGATGTATGTTTGTTATCTCAGCACCCAGGATAACTGAAGAGGCAGAATTGTGAATCCATGGGCTATATAGTGAGACCTGGTCTCAAAAAAGAAGAGGTGAATGTGGCCTAATAGTAGAGTGCTTGCCTGGCATGCATGAAGCCCTGGTTGATTCCTCAGCACCATATAAACAGAAAAAGTTTCAAGTGGCACTGTGGTAGAGTACTAGCCTTGAGCAAAAGAAGCTCAGGGACAGTGCTCAGGCACGGAGTTCAAGCCCCAGGACTGGCAAAAAAAAAAAAAAGAAAGGAAGGAAGAAAGGAAAGAAAGGAAGGAAGGAAGAAAGAGAGAGAGAGAGAGAGAGAGAGTAGATGTTGTAAGGACCACCCTAGGAAGGTGGGGCAGATTCCACCCTCCTCTTGGCTAAGTCTCTGCCCAGTGTCACCTAGGTACCTGGCACACCTGGCATCAGTCACCTCCCCCTCCTCCATCCATGCCCCCATGCCTCCCACTGGCGGAGAAAGGGTCCCAGGCCTTGAGGTCACATCTGCATCTGATGTGGCCACACCTTCCCTCACTTGGCTTCACCTTTTCCCCACTGCCTTCCCTACTTAAATCCTGGACCAACCTCAGCCCATCCTTTTTTCTAGCCATATCTCCACCATGCCTGAATGCCGCTGAGCTCTGGTGGCTCACGCCTGTAAACCTAGCTACTCAGGAGATCTGAGGATTGTGGTTCCCAGCCAGCCCTGGCAAGAAAGTCTTTGTGAAATCCTTATCTTCAAAAACCAGAAGTAGAGCTCTGACTCCACTTCTAGCCTTGAGCAAAATTGCTCAGGCTCACTGCCCAGGCCCCAAGTTCAAGCTCCAGAACAGACAAAAAGTAGAGATGGCTTGGGGCTGGGAAGGTGGCTCAGTGGTAGAGCGCTTGCCTTGCATGCCTGAGGCCCTGGGTTCAATTCCTCAGCACCACATAAGCAAAAAGAAAAAAGCCAGAAGTGGCGCTGTGGCTCAAGTGGTCGAGCTCTAGCCTTGAGCTGAAGAGCTGAGGGACAGCGCCCAGGCCCAGAGTTCAGGCCCCACGACCGGACCCCCCCCCCAAAAAAAAAAAAGTAGAGGTGGCTGCACCCAAACCTTGAGTTTAAAAAAAAAAGAAGAAGAAGAAGCTGGGCGCCGGTGGCTCACGCCTGTAATCCTAGCCCTGTAATCCTAGCTACTCAGGAGGCTGAGATCTGAGGATCAAGGTTCGAAGCCAGCCTGGGCAGGAAAGTCCGTGGAACTCTTATCTCCAATAAACCACTAGAAAACTGGAAGTGGTGCTGTGGCTCAAGCGGTAGAGCGCTTCCCTTGAGCTGAAGAGGACAGGGACAGCGCCCAACCCAGAGTTCAAGCCCCACGACCGACCCAAAAAAAAAAATTTTTTTTTTTAATAGTAGGAGTGGGAGCAAGTGGATCCTTCAAAGAGAATACACTAAGGAAAGAGTGTAGCACAAGTAAATCCTTGTGTTCAATGTCTTTGGGGCAGAGGGTTGGGGGGGGAGTGATTACTGGGACTTGAACTTAGGGCCTAGATGCTGTCGCTTTTCTACTCATTCTACTACTTGGGCTACAGCTCTACTTTTGGTTCTTTGGTGATTATCGGAGATAAGAGTCTCACAAATTTTTATACCTAGGCTAGCTTGGAACCTAAATCCTCAGATCTCACAGCTATGAGTCATCTACGATTTGTTTGGAATTTTTTGTTTGTTTATTTGCTTTGGTATATTTAAGTCAGATTTCACTAGGTAGGCTGTGTTGCTGCAGTGCTAAAATTTAATCTCTGGATCTTGTATTTGTAAAGTAAGTACTCTATTACTGAGCCACACCCCCAGCCAGGATTAAAAATAATAAGCTGGGCATCAATGGCTCAGGACTGTAAACCTAGCTACTCAGGAGGCTAAGATCTGAGAATTGTGGTTCAAAGCCAGGAGAGTAGGTAAGACTCTTTTATGTCCAATTAACTACCAGAAAACTGGAAGTGGCACTGTAGCTTAAGTGGTAGAGCGCTAGCCTTGAGCAGAAAAGCTCAGGGGCAATGCCCAGGTCCAGAGTTTAAGACCCATGACCGACAAAACAAACAAACAAAAAAAAAAGCTTTCTTTTTTGTGTCGGGCTTGAATTCAGTTCCTGGGTGCTGTGTCTTAGTTTATTTTGTTTTGTTTACCAGTCCTGAGGCTTGAATTCAGAGAAAAAGCATTGTCCCTGAGCTTCTCTTGTTCGAGGCTAGCATGCTACCACTTGAGCCACAGTACCACTGCTGGCTTTTCTGTGTGTATATATGGTACTTAGGGCTTCATGCATGCCAGACAAGCACCCTACCACTAAGCCACATTCCCAGCCTTGTGTCTGAGCTTTTTCTGCCTAAAGCTGAGGCTCTACCACTTCACCTATACCTTCTGACTTTCCTGTCCAGGTAGGCAGATAGGCTGGCTGGCTTTAAAACCATGATCCTCGCCGGGCGCTGGTGGCTCACGCCTGTAATCCTAGCTACTCAGGAGGCTGAGATCTGAGGATCGCGGTTCAAAGCCAGCCCGGGCAGGAGAGACCGTGAGACTCTTATCTCCAATAAACCACCAGAAAACCGGAAGTGGCGCTGTAGCTCAAGTGGTAGAGCGCTCGCCTTGAGCTGAAGAGCTGAGGGACAGCGCCCAGGCCCAGAGTTCAAGCCCCACGACCGACAAAAAAAAAAAAAAAACCATGATCCTCAAATTTCAGCCTCTTGAGTAGCTAGGTTTATAGGCAGGAGCCAGTGGCACTTGAAAATTTTAATTTTCTGATGGTAATTGTATACCTTGCATTGTTTTAGTTCTAGTCTTCAAAACATGGGAAGAAGCATATTTCTTTTTCTTTCTTTTTTTTTGTTGGTCATGGGACTGAACTCAGGGCTTGGGCGCTGTCCCTCAGCTCTTCAGCTCAAGGCTAGCGCTCTACCACTTGAGCCACAGTGCCACTTCGGCTTTTTCTGCTTATGTGACGCTAAGGAATTGAACCCAGGGCCATATGCATACAAGGCAAGCACACTACCACTGAGTCACCTTCCCAGCCCTGGAAGAAGCATTTTTGATGATGGGTGAAGAGAAAAAGAGGCTGAAATAGAAACTGAAGGTAGCTGAGGGTCAGATAGGTAAGGGTGTTGGGACATACTCACTTAGCTATTGGGTATGATGGTCCTTCCTAGGGCTAAGCTAGGATACCATGCAGAGAAAGGGAGGAAGGGAATACATGGTCTCTACTGCCCAAAATAGCTCTTGTAACCTGAGGAATTGGAGTCAGGGGTTGATCTTGGATCACGTGCCTGGGTCTGGCACAAGGGTGAAGGTGAAGAGAAATTGTCAGCTTGGCTTTCTGGTATCTGGAAGTAGGAGGAAGGGCTAGAAGAGTTATTTTTAATATTATCCAGAGCAAGAAAGAGGATTTTCCAGTAATAAAAAAAAAGAGGATGATGTAGGTAACATTTCTGAATCTTGGGTGACACACAAGGTATAACACACACAGTGAGAGGAGGACAAAATTGGCAATACAGCCCTGGCTTCAACTACTCACTTAATATTTGGGTAA